TGGTAGCAAAAAGCACGGTATTTACAATGGTTTTTGGCCAGTACTTAGCAAAAACACTGGTATTTACGGATGTTTCACCATATAAAAAAAGTGGTTTCTTGATCCGAAAAGAATAAAAATAGTGTAAATTACAATGTTTTGAGTCTGCTCTTAGGGTGCGTGGAGAGGGGGGGGTGAGGTACTAAAATGACTAGCAATTTCCTGAATAATCAGGTAACGGGGCTGGCCGCCCTCCCCTTTACGTCGTAAAGTAAAACTTAAGGGAGCCCCTCTGGAGCTACCTTTCGTGATTTTGTGATTTTTTTCAATTCTGTTTCGGTAGGCTACGCAATGCTATACATTCCCTTTTGTCACTAGATTTTTTGATAGGGGCATCCTTCTGTTATTCTGAGATTTCTGATGCATATTGACGGGGCATTCTCTAAAAGCGTCCCTCATCGAAGGAAATTTAGAAGTCAAACTTCCGACAATATGGACAGATAAAAAGCAGAGAAAGAGTCGGAAGAAAGCAAAAAAGAGTAGAAGAAAAAGAGTAAGAAGAAAAAAGAAGCAGATACGCGAAAAGGTAGGAAAGTCGCGAAACACTTTGTTTTTCCAATGATTTGGGGCTCTGGAGGGTCGAAAAGTAGGCTCGCTAAAGCGGCGGGTGCGGAGCCAGCTGGCCAGATGAAAGATGAAAAGTTGCACGCCGTTGTGGTGCAGAAAATACACCAGCGTCAGACCACTTTTGGCAGTTACGATGTCAAAAAAGTGTACGCCGTTATAGCGCGAAACACATTTCGAAATCAAAACATACAAAACACACCAGCGTCGGACCACTTTTAGAAGTTAAGATGTCGAAAAAGTATACGCCGTTATGGCGCAAAGTACATTTCGAAGTCAAAATATACAAAGCACACCATTCCCGGACCACTTTTGGAAGTTAAAATATCGAAAAAGTGTACGCCGTTGTGGCGCGAAGCACATTTCGAAGTAAAAATGTACAAAACACTATATGTCCGTATCACTTTTGGAGGTTCAAATGTCGAAAAAGTGCACGCCGTTGTAACGCGAAGCATATTTCGAAGTAAAAATATACAAAACACTAGGGGTTCGGACCACTTTAGAGGTTCAGATGTCGCTTCGCCGCTTCGCTTCACTACATTACACTACGTTACATTACACCACACTCCACTATACTACACTACATTACACTACACTACGCTCCACTACACTACACTACATTAAATTACACTACACTCCACTACACTACATTACACTACACTACGCTCCACAACACTACAACTACAACTACACTCCACTACACTAAATTGCACTACACTACACTACATTACGCTACACTACATTACGCTACACTACATTACGCTACACTACACTCCACTACACTACACTCCACTACACTACACTACATTACACTACACTACCTTCCACTACACTTCACTACATTACACTACACTGCACTCCACTACACTACAATTACAACTACGACTACACAACTACACTCCCCTACACGAAATTACACTACACTACACTACATTACACTACACTACACTACATTCCACTACACTCCACTACACTACACTACATTACACTACACTACAATACACTGAATGACACTGCACCACAGATAGACAGGTAGACAAATAGACAGATAGACAGATAGACAGATAGACAGATAGATAGATAGATAGATAGACAGGTAGACAGATAGACAGATAGACAGATGAAAGAGAGAGAGAGAGAGATAGATAGATAGATAGGTAGATAGGTAGATAGGTAGATAGGTAGATAGGTAATTAGATGAAAGAGGGAAAAAGAGAGATAGATAGCTAGATAGATAGATACATAGAAGATAGATAGGTAGGTAGATAGTCAGGGAAAGAGAGAGACAGAGAGGAGACCTCAAGCATCTTTCGGTCCATCAGTGGATTCGCTTTGCCATCCCTGATTCACAACAACCAACCTCTCCTATAGGTTTCCTATTTTTGAAACTTCCGCCACCGCCTTGTGCGGGGCTACTGGTATTTCGAAATATGTTTTAAACATTGAGCTGGAGTGGAAGGGGGGAGAACACTTGTCGCTGAAGCTTGACATGTAGCACCCCCTGCAAAATAATTATGTGAAAGGGGGTCAACATATTTTTGAAATAATATTATTCTAGGGAACCCCTGGGGAAAGACATTTTGAGGGGGGGTTAATGGAAATTGTTTCCAGGTGTTCCTAGGTCAAGTCGATGAATCGAATGTATGTCAAGCCCCATTGAAATAGTTATGTTTTATTATTTTAAGGGGGATGGGGGGTAACTAAGGTAGGGGTGACTGTGAACCAAATGGCTACTGAAGCTTCGGCAGTTTCATTGGGCAATGGACAAACATTCTTGACACCACAAAACGGCAATGCTACGATAGGTTCAACCAAAATTATTTCGAAATAATTGCTTGGCACCTGATCCCTCGTTGGAAAATTATTTTGGGGGTCGGAACCCGTTAAAATAATTTCTAGCCCAGAAATTAGTTTTGCATGGTTTGACCTATGCCAGAAGTATATGGTTTTCGCATGAAATTAATAATTATTTCTGAAAATATATTTTGGTACGTGATCCCCCTGAAATAATATAGCTAAGGTAGCAGTGATGAATTTTATTTATTTAAATTAATTATCCTTAAAATTATTGAAGGGTGATAGCCAGAAATTGCCGAATTGTTGAGTAAACTACAAACTATTTGCTGGGGAAGGGGGGGGATCCTCACCAATCAGAGATTTATATTATATATATATATTACCTAATTTTATTGTATATTCGAAAGAAAAAAATATATATTTATAAATATGGTTATATAGTTATATGTCAGATTGCTACTAGCCTATAAATACCCAATAAATTCCGAATAAATACAAGCCACAATGCCCCAGTATAAAATTTTGCGGATCTTTGCGACGGGATATAATATTATAGTATTTATGGAAAGAAATAGGATCAAATATAATTATATATTCCCATTGAGATCCATTGAGATCCATTGGGTAAAATGCGCTGCACAGGCCAGGTAATTCAAATTTAAAATTGTTGCAAATTGAATATCAATGTAGTATATTGTAGTGGAACCTGTCTCTAAAAAATATAAAAATAATTGTATAGACCTCCAATATGCCTAAAATAATACCTCTATGAAATATACAACACAAACATAAAGATCCTCTTATATAAATAAGATTAAATTAGTTTACAGGTCAGGGCCTCTATGAAATATAACACAAATATAAAAAAAAAATATATTATGCCTTATTATATATAAATAAAATTAAATCATTTCTCAGGTGTTATTTTCCCAATTAAAAAATTAAAAAAAAAAGAAATTAATGAGCACAAATCCTCCCTTTTTATAGTGGATATTCAAGAAGATATTATGTTCCAATTTTCTATGGTATTCCAGATATTTTTTTTTGTATATATATATAGAATTAGTACATATAAAAAAAAATATATATCATAATATTATATATAATAGATATATATATATTGGTTATATATAAATAATTATATATATAATATAAAAGTATAAATATATATAATTATATATATATGTATATATATATATTAATTTAAATATAAATAATTATATATATATATATATTAATATATATATATAATTATATAAAAATATATATTAGAATATATATAATTAAATAAATATATATATAATTAAATATATAATTAGATATATATATAAATATAAATATAAATATATATATATATATATTTATTTATAGAAATTATATATATAACATAATTATAACATAATTCTATATATATAATTCTATATTTATATAATTATATAAATAATTCTATATATAATTATATATATATAAATAGTTATATATATAACTATATATAAATAGAACTATATATATAAATATATAATTCTGTATATAATTCTATATATATATATAATTATATATTTAATTATATATATATATAATTTTATATATATATAACTATATATATAATTCTATTTATAGCTATATATTTAATATATTTTTAATATATAACTAAATATATAAAATTCTATATATAACTATATATATAACTATATATATAAAATTCTATATATAACTATATATATAACAATATATATTTAACTATATATATAACTATATATATAATTATATATATAACTATATATATAACTATATATATAACTATATATATAACTTGATTATCTCACGTAATGCTTATAACATTGCAAAAATCCGGGGCACGGTGCGGGGCACCGAGGGTGGCACGGTCAGGGGCTGGAGATCAAAAAAGTTTGTGCTTGACCGCTCAAAAACTAGGACATCTGGTGCTTGGGATAGCTCACTAGCGCGGTCTAATGCATGTCACAACTTGGAGATGATTGGTGGGTAGTGTTGAAGTACATCCTGGCAGAAGTTAGTACCCAGGTACTACCCAGGAATCGACCTGACAGTTGCGCCAAGCATTATAGACGCCAAACCGTTTCGGTGACACTTACGATAAGCATTATAATTCTGCAATGCTTAGCATAACTGTTCCAGGATTCCTGGGTAGTACCTGGGCAGTGTCTGGGTAGTCCTGGGAAGTCCTGGGCAATCCTGGGCGGTTCTGGGTTAAGAATCTGATAGCCGAACCCCTTATGGTCAAAGGAACCCAAGCTTGGACATTGCAAGAGTCAAATTCTATTTCCACAGCACTTTACTTCCAGAACCATGAAAGAACATAGAATTAGTGCCCAGGAACCCAGAAATAGCGCCCAGGAACCCAGATTGTGAATTTGACGTTATAAGCATTACATGGGGAAACCAATATATAACTATATATATAACTATATATATACTATATATACAACTATATATATAACTATATATATATAACTATATATATATAACTATATATATAACATTATATAACTATATATGTGCGTGTGTATGTGTTCATATATTCTTCTTAAATGTAGTAAAACCTATAGTTTATATTCATGTTTTAGGCAACTATATTCAAATTGCGGTTCAATAAAAATGAGCAGGAGTTATGGATCTTTGACCCAAAATGGCTGCTCCCGGACATGAACCACATCATTCATGCCAGGTCCGCGCATATCATCACCTGGGAATCAACTGGGTTCGAAACTAGACACTCACAGCACACATGTCAAATGCTTATAAATGCTCATCACTCGGATCGAGGCTTGGAAACTTCGTGCGCCCTGACGGTGAAACGCGCATACCTTGCCAATCTCAGAGGCGTGGGATGGGAGAAGCAGAAAAGCTTGAGTGACTGCCAACTCGACACTTGTTGAGCCTTCTTCTCCAGAATGTGCGCGAGATGCAAAACCCTGACAAATACAAAACAAGATCCACAACAACTAGTTGGCACATGCTACTTGCACTGACTCAGGCTCAGACTTTCTCCACCTTCTCAGAAGCACTGCCGCTACTTCCAGGCCGTGCATGTCCTTACAGTGTAAGAATCTCCTCTATATATCTACAAGTCGTCGCGCTGCAAAGAATCGGTCCTATGGATGTACTTGACGCTGATCCTGCGATTGCAGCTCCGGCTCCACGAAACAACCTAGCACGTTGCTGCAGGATGTGAGTCTGGAGGGAGCATCTGCACATTGCTGCCCGCATAAGAAGTCATAAGAATCGGTCGCGGTTACCGGAAACTTATGCCGTTATGCAGTTGCATTCGGAAACTAATACCAGTTGCATTCGGAAACTTATATTCGGAAACAAACGCACTTGTATTCGGAAACATATATTCGACAAGTAATACAGTTGCATTCCGAAACTAATGTTCAGGGTCTGTATTCGGAAACTTATATTCTGAAACTAATACAGATGTATTCGGAAACTAATGATCCACCATGTCCTCGGCACCAAATGCCTTTTTCCGCTCACATGCATGTGAGTTCTATGCACACGTTTTGTCCACACGCCAGCCTTTGATGAGTTTGGCACTCATCGACTTCAGTGGAGCTGGAGTCTCGTCCGAAGCCAGATACGCTTGACATGTGAGATCTTTTCTCTTCTCTATTGCGCCCAATGGCAATGAAACGGGCAAGGGGTGAAGCACCTCAATTCGAACCTTGACGTGGGCTCACACGCACAGGTCCAGAGGAAGTCGCACATATGTTTTGTTAATTTCCAAGACTACGCATGTATTTGCCAAAGGGGGTGGCAATTTTGAATTGTTCTGGTGGAAAAAGGAACGTGTTGTTCAGAGGGGTCGCAAGTTTGTCTCGTTAGTTAACAAAAATATGCATGTATTTGCCAGAGGAGATGGCAATTTTGAATTGTTCTGGTGGAAAAAGGAACCTGTTTTTCAGAGGGGTGGCAATTATGTTTTGCTAGTTGGCAAGAATACGCATGTATTTGCCAGAAGGAGGTAGCAATTTTGAATTATTCTGATGGTACAGAAACGGGTTGTTCAGTTAACAAGATTCCGCGTGCATTTGCCAGACGAGGTGGCAATTTTGAATTGCCTTCTAGTCGTGACATTGTGGTTCAAATTCAGCGGGGGTCACAATTTCTTTTGTTCGTTGGCAAGACTACGCATGTATTTGCCAGAGGGGTTGGCAATTTTGAATGGTTCTGGTCCTGGTGGAAAAAGAAACGTGTTGTTCAGAGGGTTGGTAATTATGTTTTGCTAGTTAGCAAGAACACGCATGTATTTGCCAGAGGGGCTGGCAATTTCGAATTGTTCTGGTGGACAAAGAAATGTGTTTTTCAGAGATGGTCGCAAATTTGTTTTGTTCGTTGGCAAGACTACGCATGTATTTGCCAGAGGGGGTGGCAATTTTGAATTGTTCTGGTGGACAAAGAAATGTGGTTTTCAGAGGGGTGGAAAGTTTGTTTTCTTTGTTAACAAGAATGCGCATGTATTTGCCAGAAGGGGGTAGCAATTTTGAATTATTCTGGTGGAAAAAACAACATGTTTTTCAGAGGGTTGGAAAGTGGAAAGTTTGTTTTCTTTGTTAACAAGAATACGCATGTATTTGGCGGAAGGGGTGGCAATTTGAATGGTTCTGGTGGAAAAAGGAACGTGTTGTTCAGAGGGTTAGAAATTATGTTTTGCTGGTTAGCAAGCATACGCATGTATTTGCCAGAGGGGTTGGCAATTTCGAATTGTTCTGGTGGAAAAAGAAATGTGTTTTTCAGAGGTGGAAGCAAATTTGTTTTGTTCGTTGACGAGACTACGCATGTATTTGCCAGGGGTGGTGGCAATTTGGAATTGCCTTCGAGGCATGACATTGTGGTTCAGAGGGGGTTCGCAAGTTTGTTTTGCTCGTTGGCAAGACTACGCATGTATTTGCCACAGAGGGTGGCAATTTTGAATTGTTCTGGTGGAAAAAGAAACGTGTTGTTCAGAAGGGTGGCACTTATGTTTTGCTAGTTAGCAAGAATATGCATGTATTTGGCGGAAGGGTGGCAATTTTGAATGGTGCTGGTGGAAAAAGAAACGTGTTGTTCAGAGGGGTGGCAATTATGTTTTGCTAGGTAGCAAGAATAGGCATGTATTTGCCAGAGGGGGTTGCAATTTTGAATGGTTCTGGTGGAAAAAGAAACGTGTTGTTCAGAGAGGTAGCAATTATGTTTTGCTAGTTAGCAAGCATATGAATGTATTTGCCAGAGGGGGTGGCAATTCTGAATTGTTCTGGGGACAAAGAAACGTGTTTTTCAGAGGGGTGGAAAGTTTGCTTTCTTCGTTAACAAGAATACGCATGTATTTGCCAGAGGGGTAGCAATTTTGAATGGTTCTGGTGGAAAAAGGAACGTATTTTTCAGAGGGGTGGCAATGATGCCTTGCTAGTTAGCAAGGATATGAAAGGATACGCATATATTTGCCAGAGGGGGTAGCAATTTTGAATTGTTCTGGTGGACAAAGAAACGTGCTGTTCAGAGGGGTGGCAAGCGTGTTTTCTTTGTTAACAAGAATACGCATGTATTTGCCAGCGGAGGTGGCAATTTTGAAGTGTTCTTTAGAAAAAGGAACCTGTTGTTCAGAGGGTCGGCAAATTTGTTTCTTTGTTAACAAGACTATGCATGGATTTGCCAGAGACATGTTGTTCATAGGGGCGGCAAGTTTGTTTTGTTCGTTAACAAGAACACGCATGTGTTTGCCAGGGAGGAGGTGGCAATTTTGAATTGTCTTCTTGTAAACATGAACGTATGTTCCAGAGAGCGTGGCAAGTTTTTTTTGTAAGTTGATGAGACTATGCATGCATTTGCCAGATACGGTTGCAATGTTGATGTGTCAGCTGAGGGCTGGACTAAGACTTACTCATTTGTTTCGCATTGACGAACCATTTGTTTCTGAAAAATTAGGTTCTGAATCCGACTTCGTTAGTTTCTGAATCCGACTTCATTAGTTTCTGAATCCGAAACCATTAGTTTCCGAATCCGAAGACATTTGTTTCTGAGTCATTAGTTTCTGAATCCGAACACATTAGTTTCTAAATCCAATTAGTTGCTGAATCCGACCAAATGAGTTGTGGAATCATTAGTTGCTGAATCCACATTGGTTGCTGAATCCGAGTTTGTTCCATTTAATAAGAATCTGAGGCTCAAACCCTGGATTCCCAGCAGATGTGGAAGCCGTCTCAAAAGTATCCCTTCGCCTGTCCTGGATAGCAAGAGATCGCAAGTAGCTCCCATGGAAGGAAAGGACCGTCTAGAACATGGTTGTCCTTGGACATTGGGCGGCTCGTACCTGCCTGGCAAACAAATCACTTGATGCAGTACTTGTATGTACTTGTTCCATTACCTGCAAAGCTCCTGGCCTGTACTGCCCGCGCACTCAGAGGGTCTGCCTCTGGCATCCTGAAAATCGCCAGCTCTGTACGACATGCAAACATGCATTGAGCACCAAGAAAGCGGCAAGCACCAAGCAATACCAAGCACCTCTGTCTTCCACCGGTGCCGTGGATAATCTCTTTGACAGTGCCCCGCTGGTCCATCGCACGTCTCTCCTGAGCCTAGCCATGATGGGACGGCTCTTTTTCACACCAAGGCAAAACTACAAGATCTACAAGACTGGAGAAATAGGAAGATGTTGTGGATAGACGCTCCACATTGCATGCATCTAGTCACCCTGAAACCAACGACCTTCTCCCTGTCTTGTGCAACAGCTCTTGTTGCCTGATGGGCAGCACTGTATATGACCGTCCCGGTAAGCACGTAGCAGCACTCAGCATGACTTAGACTTTGTCAGTGGCGCCTCCATGATTCGGATCTTGTCTTGCTCAGCTTTTTCCAGCTTGGCCTGATGGGGCAATCTGTGTAGCACACAATGGCACATGCTGGTGCAACAATGAGGAGACCTATTTACAACACAATTACAATGACAACCTGAGAAGGGGGGAACGAAAGCCAGCATCCCATCTACCCCTATTTTCCACCATACTTTTCACCCAGAGACTCTTCAATACATTTCACCCATATACTTTTCACCCAGAGATTTTTCACCCAGAAACTCTTCTTGCACAGACTTTTCACCCATATACTTTTCACAAAGAGACTCTTCACCCAAATTTTTTTCTTGCACATACTTTTCGCCCATATACTTTTCAGCCAGAGATTCTTCACCCAGAAACTCTTCTTGCACAGACTTTTCACCCAGAGACTCTTCACCCAGAAACTCTTCTTGCGCATACTTTTCACCCATATATACTTTTTACCCAGAGACTTCACCCAGAAACTCTTCTTGCACATACTTTTCACCCAGATACTTTTCACCCAGAGACTCTTCTTGCACATACGTTTCACCCATATACTTTTCACCCAGAGACTCTTCACCCAGAAACTCTTCTTGCACATACTTTTCGCCAATATACTTTTCACCCAGAGACTCTTCACCTAGAAACTTTTCTTGCACATATTTTTCACCCATATACTGTCACCCAGAAACTCTTCTTGCACATATTTTTCACCCATATACTTTTCACCCAGAGACTCTTCAACTAGAAACTCTTCTTGCACATACATTTCACCCATATACTTTTCACCCAGAGATTCTTCACCCAGAAATTCTTCTTGCACAGACTTTTCACCCAGAGACTCTTCACCCAGAAACTCTTCGTCATACTTTTCACCCATATACTTTTTACCCATATACTTTTCACACAGAGACTCTTCACCTAGAAACTCTTCTTGCACATACTTTTCACCCATATACTTTTCACCCAGAGACTCTTCACCCAGAAACTCTTCTTGCACATACTTTTCACCCATATACTTTTCACCCAGAGACTCTTCACCCAGAAACTCTTATTGCACATACTTTTCACCCATACACTCTTCACCAAGAAACTCTTCTTGCACATACTTTTCACCCATATACTTTTCACCCAGAGACTCTTCACCCAGAAACTCTTCTTGCACATACTTTTCACCCATATACTCTTCACCCAGAAACTCTTCACCCAGAAACTCTTTTTGCACATACTTTTCACCCATATACTTTTCACCCAGAGACTCTTCACCCAGAAACTCTTCTTGCACATACTTTTCACCCGTATACTTTTCACCCAGAGACTCTTCACCCAGAAACTCTTCTTGCACATACTTTTCACCCATATACTTTTCACCCAGAGACTCTCCTTGCACATACGTTTCACCCATATACTTTTCACCCAGAGACTCTTCACCCAGAAACTCTTCTTGCACATACTTTTCACCAATATACTTTTCACCCAGAGACTCTGCACCCAGAAACCCTTCTTGCACATATTTTTCACCCATATACTTTCACCCAAAGACTCTTCTTGCACCTACTTTTCACCCATATACTTTTCACCCAGAGACTCTTCACCCAGAAACTCTTCTTGCACATACTTTTCACCAATATACTGTTCACATCTTTTCACCCAGAGACTCTTCACCCAGAAAACTCTTCTTGCACAGACTTTTCACCAAGAGACTCTTCACCCAGAAACTCTCCTGGCACAAACTTTTCACCCATATACTTTTCACCTAGAGACTCTTCACCCAGAAACTCTTCTTGCACATATAATGGTCCCACATCGGAGCCTCAATTTTACTTTTTACCCATATACTTTTCACCCAGAGACTCTTCTTGCACATACTTTTCACCCATATACTTTTCACCCAGAGACTCTTCACCCAGAAACTCTTCTTGCACATACATTTCACCCATATACTTTTCACCCAGAGATTCTTCACCCAGAAACTCTTCTTGCACATACTTTTCACCCATATACTTTTCACCCAGAGACTCTCCACCCAGAAACTCTTCTTGCACATACTTTTCACCCATATACTTTTCACCCAGAGACTCTTCACCTAGAAACTTTTCTTGCACATATTTTTCACCCATATACTTTCACCCAGAGACTCTGCACCCAGAAACCCTTCTTGCACATACTTTTCACCCATATACTTTTCACCCAGAGACTCTTCACCTAGAAACTTTTCTTGCACATATTTTTCACCCATATACTTTCACCCAGAAACTCTTCTTGCACATACATTTCACCCATATACTTTTCACCCAGAGACTCTTCACCTAGAAACTCTTCTTGCACATACATTTCACCCATATACTTTTCACCCAGAGATTCTTCACCCAGAAACTCTTCTTGCACAGACTTTTCACCCAGAGACTTTTCACCCAGAAACTCTTCTTGCACATACTTTTCACCCATATACTTTTTACCCAGAGAATACTTTTCACCCAGAGACTCTTCACCTAGAAACTCTTCTTGCACATACTTTTCACCCATATACTTTTCACCCAGAGACTCTGCACCCAGAAACTCTTCTTGCACATACTTTTCACCCATATACTTTTCACCCAGAGACTCTTCACCCAGAAACTCTTCTTGCACATCAGTTCGCCCATACACTTTTCACCCAGAGATTTTTCACCCAGAAACTCTCCTTGCACAGACTTTTCACCCAGAGACTCTTCTTGCACATACTTTTCGCCCATATACTTTTTACCCAGAACTCTTCACCCAGAAACTCTTCTTGCACATACTTTTCACCCATATACTTTTCACCCACAGACTCTTCACCCAGAAACTCTTCTTGTGTGAGCATTACTTTTCACCCCACATACTTGTCACCCCCAGAGACTCTTCACCCAGAAAGAAACCTCTTCTTGCACAAACTTTTCACCCATATACTTTTTTTACCAGAGGGAATACTTTGCACCCCAGAGGACTCTTCCCCCTAGAGAAAATCTTCTGCAACATACTTTTTACCCATATACTTTTCACCCAGAACCCAGAGACTCGCACCCAGAAACCCTTATTGCACATACTTTCACCCATATAATTTTCACCAAAGAATTCTTCACCAAGACAAACTCTTATTTCACATACCTTGTGGGCTGTCACCAATATACTTTTCACCCAGCGACTCTTCACTAGAAGAAGAAAACTTTTCTTGCCCATATTTTTCAACCCATTACTTTCCCAAGCGCACTTTCTTGCACCTACTTATCACCCATATACTTTTCACCCAGAAGACTCTTCACCCAGAGAAAATCTTCTTGCACATACTTTCACCCAATATACTTTCACATTCTTTTCACCCAGAGACTCTTCCACCAGACAAACTCTTCTTGCACAGACTTTTCACCCAGAGACTCTTCACCCAGAAACTCTTCTTGCACAAACTTTTCACCCATATACTTTGCACCTAGAGACTCTTCACCCAGAAACTCTTCTTGCACATATAATGGTCCCACATCGGAACCTCAATTTTTCCATTGTGTTTTCCATCCCATCAATTTCCGTCATTTTACTCTTATTTTACTTGGCATCATTTTGGTCCCACATCAGAGCCGCAATTTTTCCAATATGTTTTCCATTGTTTTTCTCCACTTCTTCATCATAGTCCCTCGATTTTTCCATTGCTTTTCCATCGCTAATGGTCTCACATCGAAGCCACATTTTTTTCATTTTTTCCATTGCTTTTCCATAGTTTTACTCGACATCATTTTCCCCTCCATTCCAGTCTCCCCAGTGTTTTTTTCACAGTTTTTCCTCCAGTTTTACTCAATCGTCCCATATTTTACGCTATCAATTTATCCTTCCATTTCATCAATTTTTCCAGTGTTTTGCCATGGTGTTACTCGATTTCTCCATCATTACCCTTCTATTATCTCAGTGTGTCTAACGCTTACCCAAATGCACCTTCCACAATCCCTACAGTTGCACCGTATAAACGGTTTTGCTCGGTTCTTCCAGGTTTTTTTTCTGTGCTTCTACTCCATAGTGGTCACACATCGAAACTGCAATTTATCCATTGCTTTTCCATTGTTTCACGCGTGCTTTACGCGATAATGGTCCCACATCGGAGCCTCAATTTTACTTGGCATCATTTTACCCTCTCCCTATTCTTTCCACCGTTTCGCCTCGCGTTTTAATCAATTTTCCAAGCGTTCTACTCAAATTTTCCATTGCTTTCCCATTTTTTTCCATTGTTTTTTGTCACCCAGAGACTCTTCACCTAGAAACTCTTCTTGCACATACTTTTCACCCATATACTTTTCACCCAGAGACTCTTCTTGCACATACGTTTCACCCATATACTTTTCACCCAGAGACTCTTCACCCAGAAACTCTTCTTGCACATACTTTTCACCAATATACTTTTCACCCAGAGACTCTTCACCTAGAAACTTTTCTTGCACATATTTTTCACCCATATATTTTCATCCAGAAACTTTTCTTGCACATACTTTTCAACCATATACTTTTCACCCAGAGACTCCTCACCCAGAAACTCTTCTTGCACATACATTTCACCCATATACTTTTCACCCAGAGATTCTTCACCCAGAAACTCTTCTTGCACAGACTTTTCACCCAGAGACTCTTCACCCAGAAACTCTTCGTGCACATACTTTTCACCCATATACTTTTTACCCATATACTTTTCACCCAGAGACTCTTCACCTAGAAACTCTTCTTGCACATACTTTTCACCCATATACTTTTCACCCAGAGACTCTGCACCCAGAAACCCTTCTTGCACATACTTTTCACCCATATACTTTTCACCCAGAGACTCTTCACCCAGAAACTCTTCTTGCACATCAGTTCACCCATTCACTTTTCACCCAGAGACAGAGATTCTTCACCCAGAAACTCTCCTTGCACAGACTTTTCACCCAGAGACTCTTCTTGCACATACTTTTCGCCCATATACTTTTTACCCAGAACTCTTCACCCAGAAACTCTTCTTGCACATACTTTTCACCCATATACTTTTCACCCAGAGACTCTTCACCCAGAAACTCTTCTTGCACATACTTTTTCCCAGGAAACTCTTCTTGCACATACTTTTCACCCATATACTTTTCACCCAGAGAATCTTCACCCAGAAACTCTTCTTGCACATACTTTTCACCCATATACTTTTCACCCAGAGACTCTTCACCCAGAAACTCTTCTTGCACATACTTTTCACCCAGATACTTTTCACCCAGAGACTCTTCACCCAGAAACTCTTCTTGCACATACTTTTCACCAATATACTTTTCACCCAGAGACTCTTCACCTAGAAACTTTTCTTGCACATTTTTTCACCCATATACTTTCACCCAAAGACTCTTCTTGCACCTACTTTTCACCCATATACTTTTCGCCCAGAGACTCTTCACCCAGAAACTCTTCTTGCACAGACTTTTCACCCAGAGACTCTTCACCCAGAAACTCTTCTTGCTCAAACTTTTCACCCATATACTTTTCACCTAGAGACTCTTCACCCAGAAACTCTTCTTGCACATATAATGGTCCCACATCGGAGCCTCAATTTTACTTTTCACCCATATACTTTTTACCCATATACTTTTCACCCAGAAACTTTTCTTGCACATACTTTTCACCCATATACTTTTCACCCAGAGACTCTTCACCCAGAAACTCTTCTTGCACATACTTTTCACCAATATACTTTTCACCCAGAGACTCTTCACCTAGAAACTTTTCTTGCACATATTTTTCACCCAGAGACTCTTCACCCAGAAACTCTTCTTGCACAGACTTTTCACCCATATACTTTCCACCCAGAGACTCTTCACCCAGAAACTCTTCTTGCACATACGTTTCACCCATATACTTTTCACATCTTTTCACCCAGAGACTCTTCACCCAGAAACTCTTCTTGCACATATTTTTCACCCATATACTTTCACCCAGAAACTCTTCTTGCACATACTTTTCACCCATATACGTTTCACATCTTTTCACCCAGGGACTCTTCACCTAGAAACTCTTCTTGCACATACATTTCACCCATATACTTTTCACGCAGAGATTCTTCACCCAGAAACTCTTCTTGCACAGACTTTTCACCCAGAGACTCTTCACCCAGAAACTCTTCTTGCACATACTTTTCACCAATATACTTTTCACCCAGAGAATACTTTTCACCCAGAGACTCTTCACCTAGAAACTCTTCTTGCACATACTTTTCACCCATATACTTTTCACCCAGAGACTCCGCACCCAGAAACCCTTCTTGCACATACTTTTCACCCATATACTTTTCACCCAGAGACTCTTCACCCAGAAACTCCTCTTGCACATCAGTTCGCCCATACACTTTTCACCCAGAGATTCTTCACCCAGAAACTCTCCTTGCACAGACTTTTCACCCAGAGACTCTTCTTGCACATATTTTTCACCCAGAGACTCTGCACCCAGAAACTCTTCTTGCACCTACTTTTCACCCATATACTTTTCACCCAGAGACTCTTCACCCAGAAACTCTTCTTGCACATACTTTTCACCCATATACTTTTCACATCTTTTCACCCAGAGACTCTTCACCCAGAAACTCTTCTTGCACAGACTTTCACCCAGAGATTCTTCACCCAGAAACTCTCCTTGCACATACGTTTCACCCATATACTTTTCACCCAGAGACTCTTCACCCAGAAACTCTTCTTGCACATACTTTTCACCAATATACTTTTCACCCAGAGACTCTTCACCTACAAACTTTTCTTGCACATATTTTTCACCGATATACTTTCACCCAGAGACTCTTCTTGCACCTACTTTTCACCCATATACTTTTCACCCAGAGACTCTTCACCCAGAAACTCTTCTTGCACATACTTTTCACCAATATACTTTTCACATCTTTTCACCCAGAGACTCTTCACCCAGAAACTCTTCTTGCACAGACTTTCACCCAGAGATTCTTCACCCAGAAACTCTCCTTGCACAAACTTTTCACCCATATACTTTGCACCTAGAGACTCTTCACCCAGAAACTCTTCTTGCACATATAATGGTCCCACATCGGAGCCTCAATTTTTCCATTGTGTTTCCATCCCATCAATTTCCGTCATTTTACTCTTATTTTACTTGGCATCATTTTGGTCCCACATCAGAGCCGCAATTTTTCCAATATGTTTTCCATTGTTTTTCTCCACTTCTTCATAGTCCCCCGATTTTTCCATTGCTTTTCCATCGCTAATGGTCTCACATCGAAGCCACATTTTTTTCATTTTTTCCATTGCTTTTCCATAGTTTTACTCGACATCATTTTCCCCTCCATTCCTGTCTCCCCAGTGTTTTTTTCACAGTTTTTCCTCCAGTTTTACTCAATCGTCCCATATTTTACGCTATCAATTTATCCTTCCATTTCATCAATTTTTCCAGTGTTTTGCCATGGTGTTACTCGATTTCTCCATCATTACCCTTCTATTATCTCAGTGTGTCTAACGCTTACCCAAATGCACCTTCCACAATCCCTACAGTTGCACCGTATAAACGGTTTTGCTCGGTTCTTCCATTGTTTTTTTTTCTGTGCTTCTACTCCATAGTGGTCACACATCGAAACTGCAATTTTTCCATTGCTTTTCCATTGTTTCACGCGTGCTTTACGCGATAATGGTCCCACATCGGAGCCTCAATTTTACTTGGCATCATTTTACCCTCTCCCTATTCTTTCCACCGTTTCGCCTCGCGTTTTAATCAATTTTCCAAGCGTTCTACTCAAATTTTCCATTGTTTTCCCATTTTTGTTTCCATTGTTTTATGTCAAAGTCCCTCCTTTTTTCCATTGTTTTTCTCATCATTTTCCCCTCCTTTCCCATTTTTTTCCCATTGTTTTATGTCATATTCCCTCATTTTTTCATTGTTTTTCTCATCATTTTCCCCTCCATTGCAATCTGCCCAGATCCACCTCGGAGGGCGGACCAGGGGGGAATCGATACCCCAACGTCACCCAATTGCCACCTGGTACATAACCCTAAAAAAAGTTTACCCGGTCCACCTTTTTTACCACCTATTTTCCTCATTTTTGACCGTTTCGGCTCGCTCTGCCCCCAGACCCCCTTAACTCACTTTGTTCGCAAAAATAACTTCGCCTAGCCTAGCGGCTGGCTTTCGTGATTATGTGGTGCATTCTTGATTCAGTGTGTTCATGCCAACTTGATTCTTGATTCTTGTATGCTTCAAATTGCTTCAAGCCTTGCGAGCTTTCTGCACAGGTGACAGCTCGTCCTCCTCTCTTCTCTCCTCGTCTCTCCTCTCTTCTTTTCTCTCTTCTTTTCTCTCCTCCTCTCTTCTCTCTTCCTCTCTTCTCTCTTCCTCTCTTTTGCCTGCAGTATTCAAACACTTGGTGTGGTGCATGGTCGTTGCACTGCCCACTGAACTTCGTCACAGCAAGCGTGCCTCCATTGGAGCTGCGAGCTGAGTTGGTCCTAGATTCGGTAGGGTCCTTGACTCTCCTGCCCAAAACGCAGATGCACTTGCACAATGCCCGCGCAAACAAACAAAATGCCCACTGCCTCTTGGTTTTTGAGATTTGCCTCACAAAACGGGCAAGTCATGGCAAATCATACCTGTTCAGAACTTATCAGCGTGAAGAACTTTTGCAGTGTTGCTGGCTGTGTCCATCATGTTTTGGCTCCGTAAGCCGAGGGCTTCTCCGTTTGATCTGGCCTGGTCAATTCATAGGCCAACTTGAAGAATTAGTTCAAAATATTTTATAATATATTGTATATTTAATAATATCGATATCGCTCTCTCTCTCTCTCTCTCTCGCTCGCCATCGCCAACTTCAAGACTTCTGCTACCAACGATTTTGTCCATTTGACGTCTCCAGCACCTTGCCTCTCTGCTTCCGCTGGCAGACTTCCCTCGTCACACATCCCAGCTGAAGTAGGTCTAACTATATAAAGCGTTCCAAACTACACTCCTCCACTGCAACAGCATCGCCTCGCTTTCCTTCCAACGGCGCATCTCTTCGGCGAAGGCTGCGTTCTGGCACATTCGAGCTTGCTCACCACATGTCTCCACAAGGCCAAGATTTAAAGTCCGATCGAGTGTAATTGATCGCCTGGAAACTTTGCGATGTGCTGTGTCTATATTAGTCTCTCTATCTATCATTATCTATCTATTTATATATATATATATATCATTATATATCCGCCCACCGGTCCTCAGCTTTTGACTTCTGGATTCTCTCCAAAGCCTTGTCATCATCTGCTTCCTGCTTGGGATGATTGCACATCATTGGTAGCAGGGTAATTAATCACGAAGAGTCCACCTGACACGTACAGCAGCTGTACAGCAAGTCTCGTAGTTCGGCCCTCCTTGAGCGCGCGGATCATGTCAAGGTCGGTGTTTCTCCTCTCTTCTTTCTCGCCCTCCGTCTGGCCCGCACTGATGGGTCTTTCAGCTTCCAATTCTCCGATAGGTTTCATTGCCTGCGGCTCCCAGCGAACGTTTGGTTTTTGCATTCGCAGAGATAGATAGCAGTTTTCTATGGTGACACCTCCTGGCATTGGACATAGCCGGCCTGCTCTTCCGTGCTTTGCCTGAATAATGCATTCAAATACAAGCTCCGCAGCTTGAGGGATGGGAGTAAGAATGTGTTGCACTGTGTTGCTCCGTGTTGCCCTGTTTGCTTTCCCTGTGTATTGCAGACAGGACACTTTGGCAACACCAAAGTCGAAGAGCCCTGCAATGACTCCTGAAAGAAGTGGTGCGAACTGGAGAGAAAAGCGTGTGATCAAGAAGCCAAACCAACAACACAAAGGAACGTAACAAATGTATGGCATCATACTGCACCACTCTAAAATCGAAGGGCACTCAGTTCACGATCAGCCGATCCTCCAGCCCTCCGATTACTGTTGCCTTAGCTGGGACTTGTGATGGACTTCTGGATGCACATCGGTCTTTTGATCTGTGATGAGCTGTCTATGGCTCAGACTCCAAAGGGAATAGCCAAGGTGTGTGAGGCTGTCGTATCGCCATCCAGGTTGTCTTGCAGGATCCCCTGTTTGAACGCTGGAGCAAAACAAACATGGATACGGGATGCTGGAAGACGCTGGAAGATGCTGGAAGAAATGGAAGAAATGGAAGAAATGGAAGACATTATACAAATGGAAGAATTGAATTTCAAAAACACACCAAGCCCCGCCTTCAGGGACTTGTCACCATCTGGATCTGCGATACAGAATTCACCGGTGTAAAGGCGTGTTAAGCCTGACGTCAAGGCATCAAATTAACAAACATATACAAACATAATAAACGTTCACAATTTGCTCCAACAATCCGACAAACATCAACAATCATATCCAAACCAACTGGCTTTGTCTCAGCCCTGTCCAGTCGGTCCATTTGAACGTAACTGCCTCCAGTAAAAGTTCCAGACTCGTCGCCTTCCTTCAATGCGACATAATGCGACATGAAGTAAAGTGAGTTTGTTGCAATGGTCATGGCCGTACCGCGTTTCGGTCATTTTCAGTTGGCATGTCATGCTATGTTGCGCTGCACGTCTCCTCAATCACCTGGCCCGCGCCCCAACTGGAGCCCAGGTCTGACTCTGTGCTGTCCAGCCTCAACCATCACTACGCTTTGAACCCAGAAAAGTTCCAGAAGGTTCTACTCACTGGTCCTCATGACTTTAATATCCGCCGACCCTGCCGACAGCAGGGAGAAGAGGGGGGAGTGCGTCAGAGAAGAGGGACAAGAGGCAAGCTGCAAGTTCAAGACCACAGGTGTAAGAAACCAGGGAACAAAAGGGGCAAGAGGCTAGCTGCAAGAATCAGCGAGCAAGAGCCAAGCTGCAACTTCAAGAAAACAGGGGACAAGAAACGGCAAGAGCAAAAACACCTGAGAAGGGGGGAACGAAAGCCAGCATCCCATCTACCCCTATTTTCCACCATACTTTTCACCCAGAGACTCTTCAATACATTTCACCCATATACTTTTCACCCAGAGATTTTTCACCCAGAAACTCTTCTTGCACAGACTTTTCACCCATATACTTTTCACAAAGAGACTCTTCACCCAATTTTTTTTCTTGCACATACTTTTCGCCCATATACTTTTCACCCAGAGATTCTTCACCCAGAAACTCTTCTTGCACAGACTTTTCACCCAGAGACTCTTCACCCAGAAACTCTTCTTGCACATACTTTTCACCCATATATACTTTTTACCCAGACACTTCACCCAGAAACTCTTCTTGCACATACTTTTCAGATACTTTTCACCCAGATACTTTTCACCCAGAGACTCTTCACCAGAAACTCTTCTTGCACATACTTTTCACCCATATACTTTTCACCCAGAGACTCTTCACCCAGAAACTCTTCTTGCACATACTTTTCACCAATATACTTTTCACCCAGAGACTCTTCACCTAGAAACTCTTCTTGCACATACTTTTCACCCATATACTTTTCACCCAGAGACTCTTCTTGCACATACTTTTCACCCATATACTTTTCACCCAGGGACTATTCACCCAGAAACTCTTCTTGCACATACTTTTCACCAATATACTTTTCACCCAGAGACTCTTCACCTAGAAACTTTTCTTGCACATATTTTTCACCCATATACTTTCACCCAGAAACTTTTCTTGCACATACTTTTCACCCATATACTTTTCACCCAGACTCTTCACCCAGAAACTCTTCTTGCACATACATTTCACCCATATACTTTTCACCCAGAGATTCTTCACCCAGAAAGTCTTCTTGCACAGACTTTTCACCCAGAGACTCTTCACCCAGAAACTCTTCGTGCACATACGTTTCACCCATATACTTTTTAGCCATATACTTTTTACCCAGAGACTCTTCACCTAGAAACTCTTCTTGCACATACTTTTCACCCATATACTTTTCACCCAGAGACTCTGCACCCAGAAACCCTTCTTGCACATACTTTTCACCCATATACTTTTCACCCAGAGACTCTTCACCCAGAAACTCTTCTTGCACATCAGTTCACCCATACATTTTTCACCCAGAGATTCTTCACCCAGAAACTCTCCTTGCACAGACTTTTCACCCAGAAACTCTTTTTGCACATACTTTTCGCCCATATACTTTTTACCCAGAACTCTTCACCCAGAAACTCTTCTTGCACATACATGTCACCCATATACTTTTCACCCAGAGACTCTTCACCCAGAAACTCTTCTTGCACATACTTTTCACCCATATACTTTTCACCCAGAGACTCTTCTTGCACATACGTTTCACCCATATACTTTTCACCCAGAGACTCTTCACCCAGAAACTCTTCTTGCACATACTTTTCACCAATATACTTTTCACCCAGAGACTCTTCACCTAGAAACTTTTCTTGCACATATTTTTCACCCATATACTTTCACGCAGAGACTCTTCTTGCACCTACTTTTCACCCATATACTTTTCACCCAGAGACTCTTCACCCAGAAACTCTTCTTGCACATACTTTTCACCAATATACTGTTCACATCTTTTCACACAGAGACTCTTCACCCAGAAACTCTTCTTGCACAGACTTTTCACCCAGAGACTCTTCACCCAGAAACTCTTCTTGCTCAAACTTTTCACCCATATACTCTTCACCTAGAGACTCTTCACCCAGAAACTCTTCTTGCACATATAATGGTCCCACATCGGAGCCTCAATTTTACTTTTCACCCATATACTTTTTACCCATATACTTTTCACCCAGAGACTCTTCTTGCACATACTTTTCACCCATATACTTTTCACCCAGAGACTCTTCACCCAGAAACTCTTCTTGCATAAGGTATGCTGCCCATCTTGCTAAAAAGTACCATCATGGAACTTCTGCACATCACATGGTGTTAATCAAAACGGCCATTTTTCCATTGCGTTTCCAATGTTTCACGCGTGCTTTACGTGACTTGGCATCATTTTACCCTCTCCTCATTGTTTCCACCGTTGTAATCAATTTTCCAAGCGTTCTACTCAAATTTGCCATTGCTTTCCCATTCTTTTCCCATTGTTTTACGTCATATTCCCTCATTTGTTCATTGTTTATCCCAAATTTCAGACATATGGCATGAAGATTGCATTGCTTACAAAATTTGGGCAAAAACTGAACTTCTGCACATCACATGTGTGTCATCTCCTCATATCGAAACTGCAATTTTTCCATTGCTTTTCCATTACGCGATAAAGGACCATAAGAATGCACTAAATCTTGAGCGAATAAGGTATGCTGCCCATCTTGCTAAAAAGTACCATCATGGAACTTCTGCACATCACATGGTGTTAATCAAAACGGCCATTTTTCCATTGCTTTTCCAATGTTTCACGCGTGCTTTACGTGACTTGGCATCATTTTACCCTCTCCTCATTGTTTCCACCGTTGTAATCAATTTTCCAAGCGTTCTACTCAAATTTGCCATTGCTTTCCCATTCTTTTCCCATTGTTTTACGTCATATTCCCTCATTTGTTCATTGTTTATCCCAAATTTCAGACATATGGCATGAAGATTGCATTGCTTACAAAATTTGGGCAAAAACTGAACTTCTGCACATCACATGTGTGTCATCTCCTCATATCGAAACTGCAATTTTTCCATTGCTTTTCCATTACGCGATAATGGTCCCACATCGGAGCCTCAATTTTACTTGGCATCATTTAACCTTCCCCTATTCTTTCCACCGTTTTTCCTCGCGTATCAATTTTCCAAGCGTTCTACTCAAATTTTCCATTGCTTTCCCATTTTTTCCATTGTTTTATATCATAGTCTCTCATTTTTTCCATTGTTTTTCTCATCATTTTCCCCTCCTTTCCCATTTTTTTCCCATTGTTTTATGTCATATTCCCTCATTTTTCCATTGTTTTTCTCAACATTTTCCATCATTTTCCCCTCCTTTCCCATTTTTTTCCCATTGTTTCACCTCGAAGGGCGGACCAGGTTTTCTTTCCGTGCGTCTACTCCATAGTGGTCACACATCAAAACGGCCATTTTTCCATTGCTTTTCTAATGTTTCACGCGTGCTTTACGTGACTTGGCATCATTTTACCCTCTCCTCAGTGTTTCCACCGTTGCAATCAATTTTCCAAGCGTTCTACTCAAATTTGCCATTGCTTTCCCATTCTTTTCCCATTGTTTTACGTCATATTCCCTCATTTGTTCATTGTTTATTCCACAATCCCTACAGTTGCACCGCATAAACGGTTTTGCTCGTTTCTTCCATGGTTTTCTTTCCGTGCGTCTACTCCATAGTGGTCACACATCAAAACGGCCATTTTTCCATTGCTTTTCCAATGTTTCACGCGTGCTTTACGTGACTTGGCATCATTTTACCCTCTCCTCAGTGTTTCCACCGTTGTAATCAATTTTCCAAGCGTTCTACTCAAATTTGCCATTGCTTTCCCATTCTTTTCCCATTGTTTTACGTCATATTCCCTCATTTGTTCATTGTTTATTATGGCATGAAGATTGCATTGCTTACAAAATTGTGGCAAAAACTGAACTTCTGCACATCACATGTGTGTCATCTCTTCTTGGATACCACAACAAACTAGAAGAATGATATTTATAATAGATGGTCAAAAATATGATTTCTCAGTATTTGAAGTTAGGTCAATCGGCGAGGCAGCACAGGACCATAAGAATGCACTAAATCTTGAGCGAATAAGGTATACTGCCCATCTTGCTAAAAAGTACCATCATGGAACTTCTGCACATCACATGGTGTTAATCAAAACGGCCATTTTTCCATTGCTTTTCCAATGTTTCACGCGTGCTTTACGTGACTTGGCATCATTTTACCCTCTCCTCATTGTTTCCACCGTTGGAATCAATTTTCCAAGCGTTCTACTCAAATTTGCCATTGCTTTCCCATTCTTTTCCCATTGTTTTACGTCATATTCCCTCATGTGTTCATTGTTTATCCCAAATTTCAGACATATGGCATGAAGATTGCATTGCTTACAAAATTTGGGCAAAAACTGAACTTCTGCACATCACATGTGTGTCATCTCCTCATATCGAAACTGCAATTTTTCCATTGCTTTTCCATTACGCGATAAAGGACCATAAGAATGCACTAAATCTTGAGCGAATAAGGTATGCTGCCCATCTTGCTAAAAAGTACCATCATGGAACTTCTGCACATCACATGGTGTTAATCAAAACGGCCATTTTTCCATTGCTTTTCCAATGTTTCACGCGTGCTTTACGTGACTTGGCATCATTTTACCCTCTCCTCATTGTTTCCACCGTTGTAATCAATTTTCCAAGCGTTCTACTCAAATTTGCCATTGCTTTCCCATTCTTTTCCCATTGTTTTACGTCATATTCCCTCATTTGTTCATTGTTTATCCCAAATTTCAGACATATGGCATGAAGATTGCATTGCTTACAAAATTTGGGCAAAAACTGAACTTCTGCACATCACATGTGTGTCATCTCCTCATATCGAAACTGCAATTTTTCCATTGCTTTTCCATTACGCGATAATGGTCCCACATCGGAGCCTCAATTTTACTTGGCATCATTTTACCCTCTCCCTATTCTTTCCACCGTTTTTCCTCGCGTATCAATTTTCCAAGCGTTCTACTCAAATTTTCCATTGCTTTCCCATTTTTTCCCATTGTTTTATATCATAGTCTCTCATTTTTTCCATTGTTTTTCTCATCATTTTCCCCTCCTTTCCCACTTTTTTCCCATTGTTTTATGTCATATTCCCTCATTTTTCCATTGTTTTTCTCATCATTTTCCATCATTTTCCCCTCCTTTCCCATTTTTTTCCCATTGTTTTATATCATATTCCCTCATTTTTTCCATTGTTTTTCTCATCATTTTCCCCTCCATTGCAATCCCCAAGTCCACCTCGGAGGGCGGACCAGGGGGGAATCGATACCCCACCGTCACCCAATTGCCACCTGGTACATAACCCTAAAAAACTTTACCTGTGGCCACCTTTTTTACCACCTAATTTCCCGATTTTTGGCCAGTTGGGGGCGCTCTGCCCCCAGACCCCCTTAACTCACTTTGTTCGCAAAAAGAACTTCGCCTAGCCTAGCGGCTGGCTTTCGTGAAAGCTAGTTTCTTGTAGGTGCAGAATGCGACGTCAGGCACTACAGGCCGTTGCCCGTCCTTCACTGCCACGCTGTTTGAGTGTGGCGAAGCCGCTCTTTTTGAGCTTTGGCAGCTGCAGGAGACAGCGGCGGCAAGAGCAAAAAGACCGCTACTTTCTTGTAGGAGCAGAAAGCGACGCTGGCACTACAGGCCGTTCGTTGCCAGGAGGCCCGTTCCATCCTCGAGCAAGAGCAAGAAGGCAGGAGAAAGCAGCGGCAAGAGCAAAAGGACAGCTAGTTTCTTGTCGGTGCAGAAAGCGACGTTAGGCACTACAGGCCGTTGCCCGGAGGCCCGTTCCGTCCTTCACTGTCATGCTCTTGTTGTTGTTGTTGTTCTTCTTCTCCTTCTTCTTCTTCTTCTGGTTCTTCTGTGCTGTTGTTTCCCTTGTTGTTACTCTTCCTCTTTTTCCTGCTCTTGTTCTGAATAGCAGAAAGAAATGGGCAACATTCCGAAAAACACAGAATGAATCTCAGTGGATCGTATCCCAAAGGATACTCAGCACTTACAATACCTGGATTCAAATAAGTCGTCTCCAAAAGATCTATCACTCCCAGTGATCAGAATGGTTATTTGCTTCTACGCCTGTAACGGCGACACGCACCCCCCGCTCACCGCCCCCGAGGCGGCAGCCCCTGGGGTCGGCGGCAGGGGGCATAGCCCTTTATTTGTATATGTCCAATGTCGATATTGCTTGTAGGAGATGAGATTCCAGCCGAGTGGTTTCTTCGCCGAAGCCCTTCACTGCAGGATGAGCTAGTAGCTCCTGGCTGCGGAATGCTCACGTGTCGCAGTCACTGAAGCTGGCGTAACACGTTGGGCCTTGGCAGATGGCCGCTTCGAAGGATCTTTTTGCAAGCAGAGCTGCACCACTTGGATCACCTGAGCACAAGTCTCTAAGGTCTCTAAGTCGGAAGATGTCCTAAGACGTCGCAAAACCTGCTAGCCATCGCCATCATGGACGCAGCTCGTGAGGTGCCTCTTCACTGCAACGGGCTGGAAGAGGTGCAGGTTCTGACGAGATGATCTTCAAGACTGTGGCAGCCATGTTGCTGCTCTGGAAGGGGTGCCTCACATCAGGCACCAATTCGCAGAGACTCAAAGAAATTGGAACAGGGTCCAGTGGGCCCAGCCTCAAGGAGAGCAACTCATACAGCACGGTGCCCAGTGACCAAACATCAATGCGGCTACCTTAAGAAGCAGAAGTCGCTTTCCCAACAGATGCAGAAACGTCCCAGCCATAGGAAACATGAGAAGATGTGTGTGTGTGCACAGAGGGTTCCAGGTACCCTTACTGATTTTGCCAAACGTTTGCCTAAGTTGCATTGACGTCTTTGATCAAAAATCATGTGGCATGAATGTGAAAGAACGTAAGAGCATGTGATATCCAAGAAAAAATCCTAAACATAGATCTGACATAACATGAAACAGGTGCTGCTCTGGGCAAAACAAAGATAATACAATGCGACAGTAAATGCATTCTGGGGCTTGGGGTCATTTGGAGGTCCGTCATTCAGCCAACAACAAGATGTCAAAACTTTGCCTTGGATCCTTGGTTAGGTCCATTTACATGGGGGGGTGCTTAGCTTTGAGGAAAGTTAATGGTTACGACCTAGGAGGTCGACACTAGTGTGCTTCCATGAGTTCCCATCGTGGTTCACCAACTGGATATCCAGCCCCATCCCACTGTTAGGACAGGCCACCATAGGGCACACTCTGACAGACCTCTGGGGCCTCAGGAATGCTTCAATGGAGACTCGGCAATGGCTGACACTACGCGACTAAGGCATCACCTTGCATCCAAGTTGCCAGATATGCAGGCCTTGGATTTCAAAAACATCGCAACATGTCTCAACTACACGGCTAGGCACCCGTGATGGAGCTGCAGATTCCTCATCTCAAGGCAGCTGAGCAATGTTACAGCCAAGCAACGTCCCAACCACTGTTCCAGCTTCGGCTACCGTGCCATCCATGACTTTCGAGATTCCAAAATCACCAAGTTTTGCATCGCCAGTCTTCATGAGGAAAATGTTCTGGGTTTTGATGTCGCGGTGAAGAATCTTCTTCTTGTGAATGTAGGCAAGCGCTGACAGGCACTGCCGAAACCTCAAACTTGAGACAGTCAGCCACAAACTTCCATGATTGTCAGCAGTACCCACTTATGTCAGATAGATTAAAAGAATAACTTGAGAACCGGGGTAATGGGGCGACAGCTAGCTAGAGTTGCGCTGATGAGCTAATGAGGAGAGAGGGCAAAGGGAGCTTGCTGTTTTTTTGACGTGTGGCTGTTTTTCTAAGCTGTGACGCAGCACTGGTGCCTCCATGTATTATGTGACTAAGTGCAACAACCCAACTGCATTGAGTGTATTTGTGTTTAAAACATCTGAAAACTAAGTTGGAAAACGATTGGGCACGGTGGTCCGCGATGCGGCTCTAAGCATTTGCAGGAGAGAGCGCATGTCGCAAAACAGCTCGGGTCGATCTGAATGGTGTGTCTGCTAAGCGCCATGAAACTCAGTTGGTCATACAATGTGTCTTCATGTGTTCTTTTCATTTCTTTAACAAGGGGCCATGCATCAATGCGGGGTGTTGACACGTTTGGGACAGTATATGCGTTGTATGGCTGCAGAACTGACAGTAATGGCGCCACACAAGCCTCCACCCACCCCAACAGCCATGGTCCCCATGTCTCCATCACCTGGCCTTGAGACAAGAAATGAACAAGATTAAGAATTGCCGCGCTGACTGCGCTAGATTGAGTTTTAAAATTGTCATAACTCTGTTCCACAGAAACCTCAAACCAGTCAAAATCCGAAATTCCTCATCGGAACGTTGCAGCTAAATTTCTATGTTTTCCCATAGGGGTCCATCTTAGCTAGATACAGATACAGCATGTGCCCGTTTTTTTTTACAGCAAAGGGTGGACAGCAAAACTTCCTATAAATTAAAAGGTCTATATCGTACATACATAATCATACATAATATATATGTTTTTTATTTTTTGTTAGTTAGTTAGTTGGTTGGTTGGTTGGTTGGTTAGTTAGTTAGTTAGTTAGTTAGCTAGTTAGTTGGTTAGTTGGTTAGTTGGTTAGTTGGTTAGTTGGTTAGTTGGTTAGTTGGTTAGTTGGTTAGTTGGTTAGTTGGTTAGTTGGTTAGTTGGTTAGTTGGTTAGTTAGTTAGTTAGTTAGTTAGTTAGTTATTTAATTCATCTATTAAATTAATCTCTACTGTATATATTATATCTATTGCAGGTTCTCGTGTCCTATATGGTTCATACTGCACACTCTGAATCTAAAACCATGATGACGGAAAATCATGTAGGCGGCAACGATCTCGTGTGGTAGAGAATGGGGAATTGCACATCATGATCCGATATGATCGGATAAGTCCATTTCTCTAATTTGGCTTTCCTGCCTGGGTGGCAGTTTTGCATTCATATACGCATGCCACGTACGTTCTTGGAATGAAGATTGTGAAGGCTCCAAAACAATTTTGGAAACAGCCGAAGTATGCAAGCGAACTTTGTGAACTTTGTGAACTTAAGAACTTCTTCACCCTTCACACAGTATCCTCGTAAGGGCAGTCTGGCCTAACTGCACGCCCTCAGTGCAGCGATGTGACCAATGCATCGATTCCTCATCGCTGAAATAGGAATCTTCCTCTCTCCGCCTGGTAGCATCATGGCATTGAAATTACTGCTTTATAGGCTTTACACAGCTGTACACAGCTCTACGTACAATCGAACAAAATCGGAGAACTGTTTGCCACATCTGAAAGTCGCCACGGCCCTAGCCTCTTGACTGTGGTGAAGAGGTCACCTGAGAATACTCATGCTCTTGGCGCTGGAAAATGCTAAGACCTTGCTACTTTTGAGGCAAACAACTGAAATCAACTCAAGCCTCCATCAGCAAACTCCAAAACAATGTGTAGTTGATCGGCCTTAGCTGCATCAACTTTTGAAAGATTTGAGAGGGAGAAAGGGAGAGCATTTCGCACATTACCAAATATTATTGTATACAAGGCCAATCAGCGACTGCCCAATATAAACTCCTGACATTTTGTAACTTGTTTGGGCACATTTCCGCACCATTCTCACTGTGCCTCAAAAAATGCATCGTAGTAAGCAATGATGTGCGGATGCGCCAGGCGTCGCCTTGGCTGCGATGGTTCAACATGCGCAATGGCCCCCAGATTTTCCCTTGTCTCAGCGGAGCACTCAGCTGAGTTGTGCACAACAAAGCAACTTCATCCTTGGCACCCTTCTGTGCATCTTCTGACATCCTGCTGAAGTCAACTGTCTTGACCTCAAGTCGCGAGACAAGAAAGGTTTTGGGTCTGTAACAAGAACCAAATATGCGCCTTCAATGTTCTTCATCATTCACTAAACTTTGCCACTGGGTCTTCGGCCACGCGCAGGGATGCAGAACTGCCAGCGTACTTCGGCTTCACCAAAATAGCAACACCTATATCCACCACGAATTCAGATATATGTGGATATGTTATATAGTTATAAGTTATATATGTTTAAAAGGTTTAAAGCATGACGAGACATTACTGCAAATTGAAAAATGAATTCGCGAACGGAGCAAAAGCAAGCGAGATGCACCATGTGCTCCCCGTCCCAGGGTCTCGATCTTTTCAAACTGGTCCATGGAGAGCGTTTTGCTTTGATCAGCATCCGGCAAAACCTTTGATTGGCAGCAATGGTTTAGGTCCGTGTCCCCAAATTCAAATGCAGCTCTGTTCGATGGCTCAATGCAAACGAGCTTCTGTACAGCTGACCTTAGTTTGAAAACAGGAGCTGCTTCGATGTGTGCATGATGTACATGGCTTCCATGGTGTCGACATCTAACAACTTCCCAAAAATGAATGAACGGTTTGCAGGTCTCAAACAGGTCTCACTGTTTTTTCTTAACCAGGCTCCTAGTTACTACACCTAGTTACTACACCTAGTTACTAGTTGCCAATCACGCTCCAGTCACCGTGTGCGGCACTTGAGGCAAGCGGCAGGAGGAAGCGCAAGCAGCTCTTCCGCACTGGCTCTCTCATTGGGGTCTTTGTTCAAGGCCCGTCGCACGACCTGAGAAGATCAAACATGATCTACCCTCTGGTAATTTAACATAGCTATTGAAAATGACCATTTATAGTGGATTTACCCATTGAAAATGGTGATTTTCCATAGTTATGTTAGTTTACCAGAGGGTAACAGTGCTCTAAACCGATCTAACAAGAAAGAGCAAGAAAGGGGTCTTGATGGGTGCTGAGAGCAATTCTACCTCATCTCTGACGGCCAAGTATGGCCAAGTTGCATCGCATACCTCTTCTCTACACTCTGCTGGCAACGGAGGAGGCTCCGCATTGACAATCTTCATAATCAATGCTGCCACATTTGACGCAGCAAATGGCTGCACTAGGGAAAGCATCTCGTAAAGGACAACTCCCATTGACCAAATATCGATCTTCGAGTTGTACGGCTTGTCTTCACATATCTCGGGCGCAAAGTACTGCGGCGTTCCAACCTTGGATCTTTCATTGCAGAGTTATACAGTCACACTCATCGCAACAGTTCGCTGCAGCAGAAGTCAATTTCCCTGACATTGCAAATCATTGCTCGCTGGGCCGTCGACAACAGTGCCATTTGCAGCAGTCGTGCCCTCTATCACCTTTGAGATGCCAAAATCTCCTTTTGGCTTGAGGCTCAACTCTCTGCTGTTTGAGTTTTACGAGCACCAAAAAAAACAGATGATGACAATGCGACGTTGCAAGTAGGCAAAGAACCACAAAAAAATCGAGCCAGTGCAGTCCTATCTTTGCATCACCTGCTTTCATCATGAAAATGTTCTGGGACTTTATGTCACCTCAGGATCGCAAATACCATCAAGAATGCAACGGAAGGCAGAACGAAATCATCGATGCAAAAAACGTGCAAATGTTATACAACCGCTCCAGCATTTCTGCCAAGAAACGGTGGAGTATGTGCTTCGAATGGATGTATTGCAGTGCCAGCAGGCATTGGCTGAATATGGTCATCGCATGCGTTTCAGTGAATGGCTGCTCATCATCTTTGTGCTTTCTGATCAGCGATGCCAAATCTCCTCCATCCGCATACTCCATCACAATGTACAAACTATTGCTTTTCACAAATGTGTCCTTAGCTTAGGACATCTTAGGACACTTCAGAAGCACAAATAATCAAGCGACCGAGCCCAACGAGTGAAATCAATATATGTATACGTAGAAAAATGCATCACCGATTGCATCCCTCAAAGCAAGGCCTTAACAAATTATGTTGGATCATATCAGATTGATGATGGTTATATAATGATGCTTGATGTATCATGATATGATATGATATGATATGATATGAAATGATATGATATGATAATATGATATGTCCAAGGCTCAAAATATGCAACAATGTGTCTGTGGGTCAGCTGGCGGAGCACACCCACTTCTTTATGGGACTCTTCCAGCGCAGCCGGGCTCAGAACGCTCAAATCGATCTGCTTGATCACCTGGGGAAAAGTTCTGTAATATATAAATGAGTTTGGAATGCAATCTCACAGGGGAAACAGGATGAGAATTTCCAAACTTAATTTCCGACAAAGATCGAAGAAGCAGCAAGACATGGAGAGACATGGCAAGAAATCACCCTGAGCCCCAGACTCTTTCTGCCCGTCCTCAGCTCCAACTGGTGAATGCAGAGCAAAAACCAATGCCACATGTTTCTCAAAAAATGGAAGTAGAGCAGAAATGACATTAAATACCGTGAAATAAAGTAAAATAACATAAAACGACATCATAATATGACATCCCCGATTCAAGGTGTGTAACGTCGTACACAACCAATTTTGCGAACTGAGCATTGCTAAGGGAAGCATGGCATGCAGCAGGTTCAGAAAGCTCGGAAGGATGCAAATGGCGTCTTCTTGAGGCCGCAGCGACCGCCACTTCGAAATTTCACCAGCGTTGCCACACCTCGAAAAGCTAAAAAGTATCTAAAAAACAGCAAAAAAAACTAAAAGAGCATCACATACTAAAGTTTCTCGAGTTCTTTTGCTTCACTTTTCTCAAAATTGTCCGACGGATTTGTTGCGGATCACTGAGGTCCTCACCAAATGCACCACCTCAGTGTCCAAGCAACGGAGGTCACGGGATGTGCGAGCTGGAAAACAGTGGATAGAAGTAGTGCCCGGGCAAGCCGGGGGCGGAAGTTTCAGTGCCTATAGGTGACAGGCAACCCTCCTGTGCTTCGCAGCAACAAGCTCTTGACTTTCGATCTGATGCCATGTCTTTTGAATGTTGATTTTTTTCTCATTTCATCTGATCTCATCTCATCGCAGTTTCTCTTGGAAATTGCTCACTGCATCCCTCTGTCACCGCAGTCTGTGTCTTCCCATCTCATCTCAACTCATCTCATGTCTTCTCAGCTTTTTTTCACCTCATGTCAGCTCTTCGCAGCTCATGTCTTCTCTCCCATTCTCAGCCCTTCTCAGCTGATCACGACTGTTCTTTCCTATTCTCATGTCATTTGAGCTTGTCTCATCTCTTTTCATCTCAGTTCCTCTCAACTTTCCTCAGGTTTTCACAGTTCTTCTCAACTCTTCTCAGCTCTCATCTTACGTCTTCTCATTTCCTCTTTCCTCTTCTCACATCTTCCAAGCTCTTCTCACACCTCCTCAGCTGATCCCAGATCTTGTCAGCTCGTCACATCTCATATTACGGCTCTTCTCAGCGCGCTCTCAAATCATCTCCGCTCTCCTCTAGCTGAAAACCTGCTCCAAAAACCGATCTCGGCACCGAAGCAAGCGACCCCTACGCTTTCCACAGAGAAAGTTTGACACAGAGAAGCGTTTACGCACAGCAAACTTTTGCACAGAGAAGTTTGTACACAGATGTTTTTCACGGAAATAGGGAAGTTTTTATCCACAGAAAATTTGTACACACAGCAAACTTTTACCCAGAGAATTTTTTGCACAAAAAGTTTTTTACACACAGCAAATTTTCACACCCTGCAAATTGTTACTCACACATGTTTTTACACACAGAAGTTTTTAAACAGAAAAAAATTACACAAGGATACCTTTACACAGCCAAGCCTTTACCCACAGCGAGTTTTTACACACAGAAAATTTACACAGAGAAGCCTTTGAACAGCAAAGTTTCTAAACACAGCAAGTTTTCACACAAAGAAGTTCCTACACAGAAAAGTTTTTACACAGAGAAACTTTTACACACATATTTTTTTTACACACAGAAGCTTTTACACAGAGAAACCTTTACACAGTTTTTACACACAGAAACCTTTACAAACAGAAGTTTTTACACACAGCAAGCCTGCACGCAGAGAAGTTCCTGCACAGAAAGGTTTTTACACAGCAAAGTTTTTACACACAGCAAGCTTTCACACAGAGAATTTTTTACACACAGAAGTTTTTACAAACAGTAAACTTTTACACGCGGCCAGCTTTTACACAGAGCAAGCTCTTACACAGAGAAGTTTTCACACAGAAGCTTTTACACAAAGAAGCATTTACACACAGCCAGCTTTCGCACAGAGCAAGGGAAGCTTTTATATTTTTTATTCACAGAAAGCTTTTACACAGAGCATTTTTTCACACAGAGAAGCATTTACACACAGAAGCTTTTACACACCGCCAGCTTTTACACAAACACTTTTACACACAGCAAACTTTCACACAGAGAAGTTTTACACAGAAAAGTTTTTGCACAGAAAAACATTTACACACAGCAAGTTTTCACACAAACAAGCCTTAACACAGAGAAGCATTTACACAGTAGAGTTTTTACACACAGCAAACCTTTACACAGAGTAGCCTTTGCACAGAGAAGCATTCACACAGAGAATCCTTTACACAGTAGCTTTTACACACAGCCAGCTTTTACCCTCAGAAGCCCGAACACAGAGAAGCATTTGCACAGAGAAGCTTTTACACACGGAAGCTTTTACACACAGCCAGCTTTTACACAGAGAAGCTTTTACACACAGAGAAGCATTTACACAGAGAAGCCTTTACACAAAGAAGCATTTACACACAGCCAGCTTTTACACAGAGGAGCTTTTACACAGAGAAGCTTTTGCACACAGAAGCTTTTACGCACAGCAAGCTTTCACACAGAGAAGCCCTTATACAGAGAAGCTTTTTCACACAGAAGCTTTTACGCAGAGAAGCCCTTACACAGAGAAGCTGTTACACACAGCCAGCTTTTACACAGAGAGGCTTTTACACAGAAAAACTTTTGCACACAGAAGCCTTTACACACAGCAAGCTTTCACACAGAGAAGCCCTAACACAGAGAAGCATCTACACAGAGGAGCTTTTACACACAAGCCTCTACACATAGAATTTTTTACACACAGCAAGTTTTTACATAGAGAAGCTTTTTACACAGAGTTGGGGAAGCTGTTATTCACAGAAGGCTTTTACACAGAGCAAGCTTTTGCACACAGAAGCATTTACACAGAGAAGCTTTTACACATAACCAAATTTTTTATACACAGAACCTTTACACACAGCCAGCTTTTACACAGAGAAGCTTTTACACAGAGAAGCCCTTTCACAGAGAAGCATTTACACTGGAAAGCTTTTACACAGAGAAGATTTTACACACAGCAAGCTTTTAAACTGAAAAAATTGCTGACAAATCACTATATAGCAGCCTTGGTGCAGCCACTCTAATACGATTTACGATGTCCAGCTGCAAAAGACAATAGTATTACGCACGCTGCCGCGGCGCCAATCAACCTTGACGCAGCCATTACAATGCGATCTGCAAAGACCGAGTTACAAAGCACAATAGAACTACGTGCAACGGCGTCAGAAATTGCAGCTCCAAAACCGGATCTCGACGCCAAAGTAAAAAAAAAATCGATTTTGAAGCACTTTGTACAACAAAAAAAGAAAGGAAAATCACCAGCGCCAAAACTGAGAAAATCTGCTGACAAATCACTATCGCAGCCTTGATGCGGCCACTCTAATACGATTTACGATGTCCAGCGCAAAAGACAACAGTATTACGCACGCTGCCGCAGCGCCAATCAACCTTGACGCAGCCATTACATTGCGATCTGCAGAGGCTGAGCTGCAAAACACACTAGCCGCTAGAACTACACGCAAGAACGTTAGCAAAATGATGTCTGAACTATCAGTTCCACTGCGCGGCCGATCCGAGAATGACCCCGGCACAAACGAATGTGTTCCGCAACCGCCCGCCGGACAAGCTTCCCCATCCATCTGCCAGGACACATTTTGTCCTGCAAAACCTAGCATTTCGTGCATCCGCTCTCTCTCTCAAAAACGATCAAAAACGCATTTCGTGCGAGACCGCCCTCAAAAACTGAAAGCGGAAGATGTGAAAACGAAGCTTTCGTACGAGACCTCCCTGAAAACATGAAAGTGGAAGATGTGAAAACGAAGCTTTCGTGCGAAACCGCCCTCAAAATCTGAAAGTGGAAGATGTGAAAACGAAGCTTTCGTGCGAGACCTCCCTGAAAACATGAAAGTGGAAGATGTGAAAACGAAGCTTTCTTTCTCAGACCGCCCTCAAAATCTGAAAGTGGAAGATGTGAAAACGAAGCTTTCGTGCATGACTTCCTTCGAATTTTGAAAATTCAAGTTGTGAAAATGAAGCCTGAACTGTCAGATATTGTGATTGTAGTGATATTGTGATAGTGGTGGTTGTGATTGTGGTGATATTGTGATTGTGGTGAAATGGTGATAGTAGTGATATTGTGGTGATGTTGTGATAGTGGTGATATTGTGATAGTGGTAGTTGTGACTTGTAAAAATTCGTTACACGGAAGTTAGACTTTCAAACTTCCTTTGACTAGTATATTAACACTATATGATATATGATATAAATGTGTCCAATTGGGTGCAGTTGGGCCCTGTGGTGGAGGAGTTTCTGTTGCCAAGTTGCGACCCAATGGCCTGACCTGACAAACGCTGATAGTTTCTGACGCTTCAATACGCTTCATGTCGGTCGATCCCGTCTTTCTGGTCTCACCCGCCTCCTCATAGGCGTCCATTGGGTCAACATTGCTCCTGCAAAGTCCAACCAGTTTTCCAAGTGGAGGGTGCCTTCACACAGTCTCTGTCTCTTGACTATCGTGACTCTGATCACACAATATCACACATGATTCGACACGATTCTCCACATGCCATGTTCATCTAGAGTCAAAATCATTCAAAATCTGTCTGCAGTAGAACCCTACCTCGAGGTAAAAATGAGTTCATGCTTGTCGACCTTTTCGATGGTGGATTTGGGGGACTCGGCCGAAGCGTTCATTCTTTCCGGTGCCGCATCTCTTGTGGCGGCAAATTCCACGCCAATCAGTTTTCACATTCTACTTCAGAAGCTAAATGCTGCGTCAAAAAAGGAACCGAAGGGATTTGTGCTGATGATGTCTAGAGTCTAGTAGTCTGTTTTCATGAACAGCCTGGTGCAAGCTTCACCATGAACAAGTTGGTCGCTGTTTCTCGCGCTCCGGCTTGCATCACAGGAGTGACTTCACGCAAATTCCAAGGTCGACAATATGCGTCGCAAAGCACCCAAATGTTCAAATTCAATCCTTTGTAAGATTTGGCTTTGCAATGGCATCAAAAAGAACCCGGAATTTGCCGCTCACACGCATTGGAGGATGATCTCAAAGCATGAGGCAACATAGCAGCAGGAAAACAGCAACAGGTTGCAATGGGTTGGCGTCTGCACTTGCTGCCTCATTCAGCCGTTAACACCACATGGCCATTGGCCAGGGAAGATCATGGAAGTGAACAGGCCCATATTTGCGCTGTCACTGGGTCACATCCTATGCTTTCTTCTTTTCGGCTGGCAGCCGGGCATAGTTGCAACCTGAAATAGGGCCCCACCAGATTGAAATCTGACCGTCACGTGTTTGACTGAGATCATTGCCTCTATCCATATCGAACTTGACCTGACACACATGCACAAAGAATCACAAAGAGCAAGACACAGCAAGACCAGAATCTGACCATCTCTGACCCACACTCTGCGGCACCTCCAGGCCCGCAGGCAGGGCCACCCCTTCTGGGACCCGTTGCCATTGTCGCGATGCGACCTCAGAGCCGGACGATCGTTGTGACATACTGCGACAATCTGCGACAATCAGATACAATCTGTGACTGTACCACTGTACCATACTGATCCTGCACCTTCACACTCCTTCACACTTCTTCACGCTCCTTTTGTATCTGTGGGCCCGGGGTGCTGACAAATTTTATATCATTGGCCTTCGCCTGAGCACGAGCCTTTGTCAGTAACCTTAGCTGTTGCCAGGCACAACTTGACTGGAACCTCATGGCCCCACGCTTCTGCAATGGCACTCTTGCAGTGCTAAGGCTAGTGCCTGACGAGATCCTGCGAGAGCCAAAATCATCAAACGTTGACAAATCTCGACACTGAACCCTCACAGATGCACTCAGCTCTTCGGCTTTCTCCTCTTTCTCTGTAGCCCCTGCCTGTGAGTGCCGCTGCAAACAGACTTGAATGCAGTTTGCTGTCCTTTCACTATACTCTTCATGACCCACCATCACGTTAACAGTTTAACATTGTCGCCAAGGGGCAAAGGACACACCTGCATCTTTCAGAAGCTCCTTTGTCAAAGCAATTCATTCAAAGATGTCAAGTCAAGGCCGCTGAATCGACTGAATCTGTCACTCATCCTATCATTTTGGAAAAAAAGCACGTGCCAAGGGATGGAGGAGGTGTCCTTGAGCTCTTTCACGCCTAGCTTCCCAAGTTCAACTGCCTGGGCCTGTGCCGCAGCAAAGCAGAACAGCATGAACAGTTGATCAACATTCAAATTTAGAGCGCAGCATAGCGCAGCCTTGCCTCCATCTCAGCAGCAATCACAGCAGCTGTGGATGGAGGCAGTGGTTTGGCATCCTCCAGTCTCAAATCAATTTCCAGACTCCAACTGCAACCAGATCAGAAAATATACCCTGCAAAGCTTGCTGATGAGAACCAGAAAGCAAAACGGCCAAAAGGATTTCAGATCACAAGCGGACTCTTGCGCAATCGTTGCAAAATGTTTGCACCATATCCTATCATCATCTATCATCTATCATCTATGTGCCGATATGCATAGTCAATCCATGTACGGTATCTTCGTTTTCGCCGTCAAACCGTAAATCTAGCTGTATCTCCGAAGTATGATGGCTTCCAACAGCAAATCTCAGTGCAAAAAGCCCAGCCCACCAGCCTCGACGACTTCTATGACATCACCATTCTCGTTTTTGATGCCTCATCAAAAAAGGCCAAGCTCTCGCTGGTGTTTGTCAAGTTCTGAGACATTGGCCGCTTTGCTGCTCCATGAAGAAACATGTTTTTGCGCAAATCATGCGATTGTTGTCTCTAGGCCCTATTTTCATGGTAAAGAGACCCAAAAGGCATGCCGCCAAACTAGGCTCTCTACCCTGCACGCTCGGAGAAGAACTGCTGGACTCAGTGGCGGCCAATATTATATATATATATATAGACATATTATATTCATTAAACACTTCAGAACTTCAGACTTCAAAAATCCTCCGGATGCAAGAGTGACGAGTTATGCATGAGGATATAATTAAGAATCTGACGCTGGTGCTTCGGCTGCCTCAGGATCCAAATGCAAAAAGCACTGTGCTTTGCACTGTCTCCGATCAGGCCCTTGTAAATGATAATATTGTCTCCGAATGTCTTCGATCAGGCGTCAGGCTGCTCTTGCTGCCACTTCCGCTGCGTACACGCCTCCTCAAGGAGATGAAAACCTATAAAAACATGAACATAGTGTATAATTATATGATACACAAGGGAAAAAAGATTATATAATAATAAGTCTATAAAGCACCCACAAACTATGACTCCGGATTTACTATATACACTGCCTGCCTCTTGATCGATTCCAGCGCTGCAAGCCGTGCAGCCTGGCTCTCAGAGTCTCGACACCCAAACTTTGCAGTTCTTGGATATTCTTGGCAGGTCTCTGCTGCCTTCTCTGCTTACTCTATCTTACTCTGCTGTCTTTTCCAATTTTTCATTCTTTTTTCATCCTCTTTGCAGTGAAAATGCCGGGCCTTTGCGCCTCCGCGGCCCTTGGGGCTGTCTCGATCGCGGTCACGGCCTCGGGAGAGCAAACGGCTGAGCTAGGACACTGATGACACTGTCATTGGATCTCATTGCTCCGATTCCGCCATCCTTCTAATCAAATCTATGCAGATCTGCTCGGTGATTGTAGTGCCAAAAACTAACCAGGCAAAGACTCTGAACATCTCTGAAGGACTAATCAAACGGCGACTGCACCTGATGCGCTCATCCACGTGAGCGTTTTGCTAGACTGAGCCCATCGCGTTTGTCCATGTCTCGTCCATCTCTTCCTCTATCTCTATGATCTCCTCATGAACACCGAACCGTCAAGAACAGTCAGAGATATTCAGAGTGTCATCTTGAAAAATTCGGACTCCGCAAACGATAAGTTCCAAGCTTCCACGGCGAGGGCTGCCTCGTCGAGGTGACCCTCGGGATCGCCTCGGACACATCTTGGGGCGTGACGGGAAGAGACTTCCGTGACGCATTCAGGCTGATTAACTTGGCATGTCACCGTGGTGTGATGTTGATTGGCATCCCAATTTCAAGTGGGTAGCAAAACATGGCATGGCATGGCAAAACATATCCCTGTATGTTGTAAGTACGCTTTAAGTCATGGCAATATGGCAATATATGAGTTTGGCACACGATGGGGCTGATTGCATCTACTAAATCCTTCGGGCATATTGGGACACCTTTGCAGTGAGTCCATCGGGTTGCGGGGGTTGTGGGGACTGTTCTCTTCAGCCCTGCCAGGACCTTTTATCAAACTCCAGTTGGAGTATGCCAAATCTTCTCCATGCAACTCTCCAAGGATCAAACGCAAGCCTGTGAAGCCTGGCCATTAGGATGTCTTGTTCTTTGCTGTTCGTTGATGTATTTTGTCATTTTCTCTTGTGCTTTCACTGCGGTTTTCACCCTCCTCATCCTTCTCCATTCAGCCCATTGGTGTCAAGTGTGCTCCAACCCCGAGTTTTAGAAACTGTTGATTTCAACACCTAACCGCACCTCACCTAATATCATTGCTTGACTTCCTGAACCACTGCCCTGCCCTGATGAACCCGGTCATCTATCGAGAAAAAAAACATCAGGGATGATCTTGGAGGCGTGGTCTACTCGCGTAGATTTACTCTACCTATCCAATTCCTTCCAGCCATCATACACCCGGACATGGCAGAGGCCACAAGGGATCGTCTACCAAGCTTTGCAACCGTCATGCCTTTGATGCCTTTGATTTCATGTTAGAGAATATGATCCTCTAGAATCCCCAGTAAACTACACCTGAAACGAAGCATCCATTCTACAGTAATTTTAAGTAAGAAACATCTACCAATTTCTAGGAGACCATGAAAAGGTTAGCATTGTGCCATGCTCAGAAAGCAAGCTGGAGGGATGTTGCGGGTGGCGCCACTTCCTGCTCTCTTTGGGAATCATCTTGCCTCAAGGTGCCTTCATGTCAGCCCTGAATCACCTGAGACGTGAATGACTCGTTCGATTGGTTCTGTGGCCGCCACCTTGATCGAGATCGGCGATCTCTGCGATCTCTGTCGCCGTTCCTTTCTCGATCGCGATCTCTGACATCACCTTAGTCATCAAAGTACGCTCCTGCCAAACTGTAGGACGCCAAACGCCAATGTGAAGTGACCTGTATTCATACTTGCACCTGCATCAAACATCAATTTCCACCAATTGTGTGATTTTTATGTGGTAAAGTCCTCGGGTTGAGACGATCCCTTCTATCTCTATCACCTCTTCGGTCCCTGTCGCCTGACCAACTTTCTGGTAGATTGGAGGATTTGGCCAAAAAGTTTCTGCTTGACACGAAGCGATTTTTCATCACTGTTCTATATATCTCTTCGACTGATACGCTGTTGGTCTGCACATTTTGGTGCGAATATTCAGGGTGCAGCTCTGTGTGTGTGTGTGGGTGGATGTAGCCTAGTCGGCCTAGTCATGCCTTGTAGAAAATAGATCTAAATGCTCTAGTGCAGCGTGAGGCAGTGCAATGCAACAGAATAGAGGTAGCTGAGCAGCAGGGTTGCATCGAGCAGCCCTCAGCAGCCCACTCTAGCAGTGTCGCATATTTGATGTGTGGGCGATTGTGGGATATTGTGGGCGTCAGTACATGCTGCAGATTGCTGCAGTTACGGGCTCTGAAGATCTCTGAAGATCTCTGAAGGGCCTTTTTTATCCTTGTTTCACCTTTTCACCCCATGATGTACAGGACGTACAGGGAGGAACTCCGAAGCACAACATTGCCACGAGCTACGCTGGAGTAAAGTAAAGCGGAGATGCTGCCTCGATCACGACCGCGAGATCCGCCTGTCAACTTCCAGATTTCGGACTCAAGGAAGCTGAGCAAAATCGCTTTGACACTGCAACGGTGACATGCTCAAGACTCAAAATGCATCAAAATGCCTAGGACGCAATACGCTCAAGAAACAACACACTCGGAGTTTTTTGAATCGGCCGGAGGGTCGAAGGGCAGTCCCTATGACATGTGACGATTTGAAGTTTGCCGGCTCTCAGTCGAACTTCGTCTCACACATCACCGTCTTCGCTTCACTGGTGCAAGACTGCATCCCTTGCTTTCCCTCTTCGAAGCACAAGTCTGAGAAGCCAGTCCAGGCCTGCTTGGTGGTGCACAGCGCACTGTCCATGGCTTTTTGTGCTTCTTCTTTCTCACGCACGCTCTTGGGTGTTGCCAGCTGCATTCCTCCAGGACAAGCAGTTCCCATGCTCTCAGCAGGAACCTCTGCCTTGCAGGTGTAGAGGCGAGGGATCTGACAGGCGATCTTCTTGGCGCCATCACAGGCAGACACAGTCTGACCTTGGACACACAAAAGCTGGCCATCAACGCAGCTGGAGCTGATGACTGCTCCAGGTACACTGGTGCCATCCAAATACACCCACTTTTGGCCAGCGCATTTTCCTCCCAGCAAAGTGGGTTGGACTGCCTGCTCCTTGATGAAGCCCAACTCTCGTGCATCCCGCGGCATAGCGGCCAATTTGCTGAAGTGTTCCTCAGCGTTGAAGCAGGACTTGTAGAGTTGCCCACCGCTATAAATCTTGTAGTGCTCAGGCTTCTCCTCTTCTTCACTTTCTTCCGTCTCCACTTCTACAATCTCGGCCTTCTCTGCCATTTTGGGTCCTTGCTGGCAGACATCCGCCACACACTCGGCAACGGAGTTGTTGACCTTGAACATCTCATGGCAAAGCTTTTTCGCTGCTGTCTCTTCATCTTTGGTGCAGTCATGCCTGGAATCCAAAGGCCCAGCACGATTTTTCAATTCCACACCATCCACCACCACTTCATCGGGCTCGCCATCGACATCTGAGCTGTCAGAGCTGCTACCCTGTTCCATGTGGTCATCATTCTGATCGTCATCATTCTGGTCATCCTGCTCTGCACTTGACTTGTTCGCAGCCAGTAGGGCGGTGGTCTTGGCACCATGTGGTGCTCGAGGCACGTCATACCAAAAGGGGAAGAGGTTGTCTGTCTGGGCCACTCTGGTGCCATGTGCTGTGGTCATCTGATACCAATATTTGTTGCGGTTGTGGATGCTTGGAGGATTCCACTTCATCTCATCACTTGCGTCTCCATTGATATTGCCCATGTCTCCCCACATGGCATCGATGGGTCGCATGGTCAGAACGACATCCATGTGGTGGTTGTAGATGTTGAGGATCAATTCCACATACAAAGGCAAGGTGAGCTTGCATCGAAATTGATTTTTTCCGTTCAAACCCTCAGTGTTCTGTGCCCATTTGATGCTCACATCCTTGCGGTCGTTCTGCCACTCCCAGGCTCCTCCCCACTGCTGCACTCGAGATCGGCTAGCACCTTTGTACTGGTAGTAAAGGCCTGTATTCTGCGAAGGTCCGGTTTTGTGCTTCGGAAAGACCTGGATCACATCGTTCTTGATGAAGAGGCCACTGACAGCCACATTGCGGATGACAGCACGCCATCCCCAGCCATAGACTCCTTGGATAGAGATCAGGTTACCAGGCGTCTTCACAAACCAGTAGGTACCAGGCTCCATGACATTCAGGTTTGTCCCCCTATCCCAACCGTGGTGGAAATTTGTGAACCTGTCGGCCTTGTTCTTGTACTGGTAGTCGAAGACCTTCACATGCGGATCACCCCAGGCCACGGCGGTCCTCTCCTCTGCCGCCTTCCCGGCCAATGTGGCCATAATGTCGCCAAAAGGACTCTTGCAAACGTTTTTGCCATCTTCTTTTTTCAATTCATAAAACACGGCACAAGAGGCACAATCTTCTTGTCCCTCTCCAGGGCAATTTGCTCCAACGCTTCCCTTGCCATTTTTGCAGGTGCAGGTTCGCAGAGTGCATGATCCACCAGAGAGGTCATATCCACTCTCACAGGAGGCACAAATGACTGAGTTGTGCTCGGTACAGCTGATGCCAGCAGCTGCCACACCATTGGGGCAGGAACAGGTATTAGAGTATCCCGTCTTGACTTTGCAGGGGGTGGAGGCCAAGCAATTGAAGAGAACTTCCGATGCCTTGTGGACGGTGCACTGGCGGTGAACCTGTCCACCAGTTCCAGCTTCATAGTGCTCGGCGCACTTTTTCTCATCGCTTCCAACGGTCCCACCGAACTTGTCACATCGCCAGTCATCTGCATGGCTGCTGTCCAGCACAGTCCCCACACACGCTGGCAGCGTGTCATTGAGTTTCAATGCATAGCCGGCCGTGAGGCAAAAGGCTACAGTCACCTGAGTCAATTTGGAGATCATTGGGCTCAGGAGATAGCTGCGTTCTGAAAATCAAAGATCCTCGTGAGAATCTTCAAAGAGGCAAAGTCTAGTGACTCTAGCTTCTCATTGGAGCCGAGAAGGCACAAGGCGGGACGGAAGAAAGATTGATCAAGATTATATAGATTCAGAGGCACTCCATCGTCTCATCCTGCACTCAAAAGTTTGCATATTAGAGGCGCTCTCCACAGGTCGCTCTATGGTCGCTCTTGCTGCATGCGGACCTCTATCCCGGTCACGATCTCGACTTCCTCAGTCCCAAAAGTCTGCGTGCTGAATCTGGCACCTTTCATCTTACTACCCTCATCTACCCTCATACTAAACTTCAAATGGCTCATAACTGCAGTTCCACGAAAAAAAAAATGAACACTGTTCGAGCCTCTGTCTCTGTCGCGATCTCTATCACGACTGCCTGCGCAGACCATCAATATACATATGGATCTGTATGTGTATATAGATATATATGTATATTTATATGTATATTTATATATATATCTCTCTCTCTCTCCTCTCTCCTCTCTCCTCTCTCCTCTCTCCTCTCTCCTCTCTCCTCTCCCCTCTCCCCTCTCTCCCCTCTCCTGTCTCCTCTCTCCTCTTCTCTCCTGTCTCCTCCCTCCTCTATCCTCGTAGCCTTCTTGTCACCTGTACACAAACCTTGCACACAGCACGTCCCATCACTACTTTGTACTACAAGCGTGCACAAAGCACGTCCCAGTACTACTTTGGCCTACAAAGCTTGCACAAACTACTTCCACAGTACTACTTTGTACTGCAACGCTTGCACAAAGCACGCACCTCCCACTACTACTTTGTACTACGTCCCAGTTCTACTTTGTACTACCAAGATTGCGCTCAGCACGGTTTTTAAATCGGCCACAGCCTTCCCAATCCAACACAAAGCCCGTCCCCGATTGTGGCCTCTATCACTTTACGCGGGCTCCTGCAGGAGGGAAAAAAAACAACAGGTCCACCTCAAAGCCATGAACCTCGCTTATTGTCTGATTAGGAAGGAAGGCTGCGCCGAACAAAAGCAACATGTTTTCGCGCATGCGTGTGACACCATTCAACTTGTGAAATAGGAACCAACTTTTGGCCCTCATGGCTTCGCCATGCGAACTTCGACAGATCCGTCTGCAATGCCTTGAGCAAACCTGGCTTTTAGCCGGCTCAGGATGTCTGTTGCAGCTGGACTGTCCGTCTGTTCATTGAGGACGATAGCGGCCGGCAGCCCCCTGACCTCTTCCAGCACTGCCATCGGGTGAATGGAGCCACACCTGGACCCCCTTCAACGTGAGGATCCTGTCAAGATCATCATCTCCTGGAATCACTTCCCGCATGCTTGGCGCAAACTGCCACATTGCAAAAATTATGCAGACACCTGCCTGGCTTTAGAGATGCTCTTGCTGGAAAGCAAATTAGTTTGTGAAGAAATCCTTGATTTGTCAATAACCAACACAAACTCCGAGCACCTGGGATGGAGCCCTTCTCCGCAGCCTCGCGCGCCCTTTCCAGCTCTGGGCCTTCGCCGACCAACCACTGACGGGCAAAAGTCTTGACAGAGATCTCCTGCCGAGGCAACTCCCCCCAAAAAAGAAAGCAAACTGTATCTGTCATAATGAGGGGGTTTGTTCGAAGTGTAGTTTTATTCTTTGGAGAAGAGGAGAGGAGAAGAGGAGAGGAGAAGAGGAGAGGAGAAGAGGAGAAGAGGAGAGGAGAGGAGGAGAGGAGAAGAGGAGAAGAGGAGAGGAGAGGAGAGGAGAAGACACGGAAGAGGAGAGGAGAAGAGAGGAGTAGAGAGGAGAAGAGAGGAGAAGAGAGGAGAAGAGAGGAGAAGAGAGGAGAAGAGAGGAGAAGAGAGGAGAAGAGCGGAGAGGAGAGGAGAAGAGGAGAGGAGAGGAGAAGAGAGGAGAAGAGGAGAGGAGAGGAGAAGAGGAGAGGACAGACATTTTGTGCATATAAAAACATAAAGCATGGTATTTGCAAAAATCAAAAACAATACATGTTCAAGTCTTCTTCTTGGCAAACAATTCTTTTTTTAGGGTTAGGAAAATTATTTGTGCATGGTCAGGAAACTCTTCTTCGAGATCCAGAACAATGCTCTGCAGGATCAAAGCAAACTCTGTGCGGGGTCAGAAACGTGTCTCTCCTCCTCTTCCTGGCCGAAAGAGAGAATTAAAGGACCAGACCGGATAACCCCATGTCAATTTTTCCAACAGGCTCAAAACAGGTGTGAAAATGGGATGGGGAAGACAGATTGTGTGAAAGAACTGTGTGATAGAGCTGTGTGTGTGAAAGAATTGTGTGTGAAAGTGTTGTGTGTGACAAGGAAAGGTTGTGTGTGACAATGTTGTATGTGAAAGAGTCGTGTGTGAAAGGCAGCGTGTGAGAGAATTGTGTGTAGAAAAGTTTTGTGAAAAACTGTGTGTGTGTGAAAGAGTTGTGTGTGACAATTTGCGTGTGAATCAATTGTGTGTGAAAGGTTGTGCGTGGAAGAGTTGTGTGGAAGTTTGTGTGTTCAAAATTTGCTGTGTGTGTGTGCGTGCGAAACCCCGAGTCAAAGGGTAAAAGCAGGGGGCCCGTGGACGCATAGATGGCACGGGCCAACGAAGACCCATCTATGTCGTCATGAAAACGTACCTGCAAAACTCCTATTGTCAGATATGGCAAGGTGGCCAAGCCAAAAACCACCCGCGCCGACATGTCATGACATGACATGACATGCTAACGTAACAACATGACATGACATGTATCATTTCATCTCATTTCACCCTCTCCCTTCGGGAGTTTACCAAGTGTGTCTTTCATGCACCCGGATCTCTGATAAAGTGCTGGGGAAGCTTGGTGGTGCGTCCACCGGGGATACCAGATTACAAGAATAAATCCAGACATGATGTTGCCAGAAGCAAAATCCGCACAAGCATCCAGATTTTGCACAAGCATCCAGAATTCTCCATCAGAAGCTGAATGTTCAGAATAAATCCAATCCATCGTCAGAAAAAATCCAGAGCTGAAAATTTCATCCCTCAGAATAATCCCGTGTCATCCCATAATTCATGATTCATGTTCACCTAGCAATCATGAAAAAACCTAGAACTGAAAGAAACACCACCATGCCGTTACCAGCCTTTTTTGTCGGTCGTTGGTTGCTTGCTGAACAGCCGGAAATTCGGATGCAGTGGTTTGCTTTTGTCAGCCTTCTTCAGTGGAAATTGAACTGAACGCCGTGAAGCTTCCTTGGATTTTTGTTGGAGCAAGCAACACGTCACAGACATTTGAGCACCATGTTCCATGTCACAACACGACACCGTGGAAACAACACACTAGATTACGGACGAATTTCTGGTCCGAAAAATCGTGCCCTAGCGGCTTGCTGTGTGCGCGAAACCCTGAATCAGAGGGTAAAAGCAGAGGGCCCGTGGACGCATAGATGGCATGGGCCAACGAAGACCCATCTATGTCGTCATGAAAACGTACCTGCAAAACTCCTATTGTCAGATATGGCAAGGTGGCCAAGCCAAAAACCACCCACGCCGACATGCCATGACATGACATGACATGCCGGTCTTTTAACCGGAGCTTTCCCATCTTTTAACCCGAAAGGGGCACAACCTAGCTGGAGCAAAGCACGCCTGAGGACAAGAACCAGCATCAGGACAGGGGCAAAGACCGCCAAACGACGAACAAACGAGGTAGGGGGGATAAGGGGCAGATAGGGAAGGTATGCTTATTGGGTGCGGGTTCCAACCTGGGTAATTTCGGGACCCGAAAAAAATAGTAGGGTCGCAACAAGGAGTTCCAACTAAACGTATAAGTTAGGATGTGCCTCCACATGGTTTCTTGACTCAAGCTTGTTACTTTAAATGATGGCAATTTAGTACGGTATTTTTGGGTCAAATTAAGTTTACTGTAACGTTAGTATGAAGTCAAATGGGTGCAATTCTTACGTTATTATTTTACTTTGGATAGTGGCAAACTGTTACAGTATTATGCTAGGTTGCTACAGTACGTTATTATTATGTCATTCCGTTACATGGTGATTACTTTACGGCATACTTACGTTAGAGGGATGTTCCCATTACATTATTATTAGGTGAACTGGTGGTTAGTATTACGCTATTATTAGGTCAAATGGTGGCAACTATTCGGCTATCGTAAGGTCAAACAGGGGTTACTATCACGCTATCATTAGGTTACATGGGTGTTACTGCCAACAAGTGGTCGCAGCAGTCTTGCAGGCTCTGGATGTGACGAACTGGCTTCCAGCCCCCCCGCCTCCCCAGCCCGAGTCTGTGGTCCCCTATGTCTGTTTGGGATTTGAGGATGCATCCCTAATCATCCCTGATGATGCCTATGGTATCAACCAAAAGTGAGCAGCCAGCCGCTGATTCTTAGCTTTCCAAAATGCAGAAACAACATGTTTCCGCAAAGAATTCGCTTTCATCCTCACGGAGGAGGATGCTGTGCCGATCCGAGCTCCTCATGCGGGTACTACTGGTATTAACCACCAATACCCGAAGCCCACCACGCCGAAGCACCCTCTGCCATTCGCTGCAAATGGACTTGCCGCCGGGGGCCTTCCAGTCAAACGCGCTGTGCATCACAACATGTTTCCACATGCGTTTCCGTAGGCTACCATCAAAATCCAGATGATTTTGTGGAAACATCTTTGGCGCTCCTTTGAAAGAAACACAGAAAAAAATAACTGATGCATTTGTGGCCAACTGTGGCCCGGGGCAAGTTGTGAACCTCTGATTGGCCACTCTTTAGGTGGAGAGACATGGCAGCCGCCACACGCTACATTGCAAACTACATGCAACACTCACGCTACACTACACGCAACACTACACGTTACACTACACGCAACGCTACCGAAATAAATGCTGCCAGGGGCAGCACTTCGGGCCAGGAGAGAAAGAATTGATTTGTATGTTCGTTTCATTCCTGAATTAAAAGCCTCAAAGCTCCAAAACACCGCCCCCGCCAGCAGCTCAGTAGCGTTGTGTAGTGCAGCGTGTAGTGATGCGTGTGGTGATGCCTGGGGCTGCCACGCAACACTGGTCACTTTCACGAGCTTCTTTGAAAAGGATCCTGCTTCCTCCCTCGTCCTGGTCCGGCAACCATTTTCCAGCATGCCAGCGCTGCTGTTCCCAGCTTGCGCTGCAATATAGTCAAACCTCAATGCACCAGACTCCATGACCTTTGATTCAAAGATTAATGATCTGACAAGCCAATGCATATGGCCAAAAAAACCTTCAGCTTCTGCCCGGTGCTTTTCTTCACCCAGGCACAAAAAAATCAGCACTACTGTTGATAAAGGCCTACACTTGAAACCTCGCGCTCCTAATTTAATATTGTTTGAATTTAATATTGTTTGAAGACGCAGTGATCAAAATGGATTTGCGCAAGTGACGGAAATCCCGCACCACCTGTCAACATGTCATTCAACATTGAGTTTGGGGGTACGGGGTACAAGATATGCATTAGCAAATGTAAGGCTATAGAGGTGGTGCAGGATTTCTTTATTCACCCACCATAGGCATCATAGCCTTGTATATTGGTTGTTATTTTCTATTGATTGATTATTGTTTTACACCGCAAGTGGCTAAACAGGTCTCTCGAAGAAATGCGCCAAGAACAGAACTCTTTCTGGATCTTTGAGTCCATCGTCTCAGCTCCAGGTGCTCCAGGTGCCCTCTCCTGGAGCAGTTTTGCTCAGCCCGAGACTGTTCTGAGAACAAACAAATTATTCCTGCCTGTGGCAGATTGGGTGCAGCTGCAAAGAGCCAGTACTGCGACAGGTTGCCAAAACATCCTGGCGATGAGCATTGATGTTGAACCTCTCACCACAATTCACCACAATTCACCACAATTCACCACAAGGCTAAGTAATAGCACATGGCAATGGTGGGTTCAACAGTGGTTCAACCATTTCAGGCAAGTCGGCCAGCAGCGCGCTGGCCATCTTTCTGCCGCACTGTGCCATCCTCGCTTTGCACATCGTGGGACCAGTCACAAAGCTTGCTGTGACACTTGCTTTCACCTTGACACTGTGACCTGGCACAACGTCTTTGAATGCTCAAAATCTTGAGTGGTCTCTCAGGAGCTGACTTCGTCACACTGAATGCCAACCCACTCGCCATCTGCAAAGTTGGTGCTCCCTGCAAGGCGGAGGCGATCAGTGTCTATGTTCCCAGAAGCTCTGACCAACAAACTCTGCAAAAATCGTGCTGAAGTGCAGGGAGTGCGAGTTCCAACTGCAGTCCTGTTTTGAAGAAAGATTTGATTTGCATGAGTCTGGTTCATTTTTGGAAAAGAAATGGCAAAACATCAGGTATCCCGCTGGTTTCATGCAGCTGCCTATGAACTTCACTTCTCCAGCGAACTTGTCCGCAATCTGAACCTTGGAGCAAATCCTACTGGAGGAATGATCACTGAAATCACAGCGTTTCCGACTGGAGGGTAACACGTACTGTCCATGTTTGTGACAGATGCGACACATGTCCTCTCCAATGACTTAAGCTTTCGTGAGCTTTCTTGGAAATTCTCTCCGCGCGAACCATATAACATATCGGGTTCTGACGCTTCCAGTCTCACCGCTGGCTTCTGGCAACCCATCATGGATCATGAGACAATTCTTCAACCGGCAAATTGATTGTAAATCATCGCTTGGTAGGCAGTTGGCATGCCCAGCAACAACTCTCCTTGCTATATTCTCTTTCCCTCCTAGGCTTTCGTTTTTTTTGTGGTCCTCGGGTTCATGTCGTTCCATCAATCACCAGCAGAGCCTTTGCCCACCAAGCCACGATTTGGCCCAACTCCAGAGAAGTCTTTGTTCCGTTGGAGACGGGCACGGGAGGCCTACAGTCAAAAGGTTGAACCGTTGAATCACGTCGAATCCACATTTATTTGAATATTTGAGCCCGGAATCTTGCAGCATCTTGCAGCACTACTGTGATCGAAACTGAAAGTGATTGCGATCATCTGACTGTGTGAAAAATCAAAATAGAGGCTTGAATGATTTAAATGGGCAGTTGATGGCTGGAGGAAAGTAGTGACCGTCTCCATACTCTCTGCATCTGCAAAAAAACTCTGAGCATATGACAGATTCACAACTTGTTTCACATTTTTCTTTGCAGTTTCTCCTGATGGTGGAAACCGGACAACAAAAAAGTGGGAAAGAGGTGGCAGCCATGTTTGCTTCCTTCCGTTGTACCCATGCGAATGTCATTCCTTCTTCTGCGCAAGGACATGAACTAGATTGAAGATGATTGAAGGGGATAGTCGGGATAGCATGAAACGGACCATTTTCCGACGACAGGACACGACATCACGTCCCCCTGAGTTGCATGACCATTCACAGAAAACATCTCTGAAGTGCAAGTCGAGCGCTCGTCAGCTGCTATCCGCTCCTGGCTCTTCCTTGGTGGGCTTCTGTCGAGGTTCACGCCTCAGCAGAGTTTCAAAGCCCTGTCCAGTCACATTGTCTTGGCAATTGCTTTTAGTTTTCTGCATCCAACAGCATCGTCCAGCATCTTAAAGCAACCCTTGCGTGTTCACACAATCTAAACTCTCAGTCCGTAGGAGTTGTTCCAAGTCTCGCTAGCAAGGGCATTGAGGTCTGTGATGCAATTAAAAATCAGTGAAAGAGACGGTTGGCAAAAGGACTCAAAGAATTGCAAATTGGTTTGCCATACCCGCAGGCCATCACGAAGGGAGCAAAGAACAGCTTGGGAAAGTCTAAGTATCCCTCCGTGTTTCTTTCAGGCTCTTTTGCACTGTAAAACGCAGTTTGGAACTCTTAGACTAAGTATAATATAGTATACAGTGTGTGTATTTATAGATAATCAGTCCTGAGTTGTCCATTCGGGACTATGACCACTGTGAACGCATTACGTTGATTCTCCTTTGGATTGAAAATGAATGCACATAACTTCCTGTGGTTCAAAAGGATTCAAAAAGTCTACGGAAGATCGCTGAGTTCGCCAAGGTGGCCCCCAGCCCCCATCTGAGGCTCCAAGCGGGAATTTGCCTGGAGCAAGTGCAATCACTTCAATGCCAAAGCTCTGCTAAAATGAAACGCAAGTCATTGAAGACACTGTAATTCAAGATTCCTGTGGGATGCCTACTCTGAAAGTCTGAAATTTGGTGCAGCCCGGAATGGGTTGTATCACGTTGTATCTGTATGTATATGTATGCATCCATTGGAGATGTCTGTAGAAGATCCCAAGTTTTCATACGACGTAACTGCTGTGCTGCATTGTGCTGCATGACATCTCACAACGGTGGCCGGCCCAGCCTTCTCCGTCCTGGTAAGGGCCGAGCTCGTGGTGGAAGAAATGCAAATGGGTCGGGTGAACACATGCATCATCTTCTACATATGCTCGCCCGCAACATGTTTTTACCTTGGACATCCTTGGACTATTTTGTCTTTTACTTCTCGACTTCTGGATACTTCTGGGAATTCACTCAAGCTGCCTCCACGCTCACGGGTACAAGCAAATGCGCAGCCTGGATACTGGATCGGCAAAATCGGTCACTCAGCCGTGCCTGCAAACGTCGAAGGTTCGTCTCACGCGCAAAAAGCCCATACTTTGGTGGGCACTCAAAATAGCCTGGCAGATTGGCAGATTTCGGCAAATAGAGCTGATTTGGAGCCATGGTTGAGCCCCAAGCCGCAAGTCAACACCATGTGAGGGAATCACAGCATCACACAGTGGTCTCACCATCTTATGTAGTCTCACAAATCGATGTTTGAATCATGCTCAAGGGCCAATTCCATGTAATTATGTGTAATCTATCGGAAAAAAATCAAATGCCCCATCAGTATCCATCAGTAGGGATCAATTCTAGTCTGTTCTTGTTATACGTACACGGTTGTCCTACCACAGAGTCCTGAAACTGACCGGTCCATTTCGTCACTTGCCAGCAACACGAACACCCTGTACACTGCCATCCTTGGCAGCAAGAACATGGATGTCAAATGATGCCAATGTAGAAACAAACTACAGCCTGTAGCGTCCATCAATGTCCATCACCGACAACACCCGTCAATGACAATACTAGAAATGCATCTGTCAATGCAACTAGACTTATGTTGAAGGTAGCTTCCTTCTAGCAAAGCTATGCAACAGACTTGTTCACAAAGCATGAAAGTCTGCGTCACCTACTCAAGGCATTCTCTGAAATCAGCCAGGCCAGGCAAAGCAATTTTATTGGACAATAGGATCGTGCACGTGTGAATGCATTGGCTCCTCTACTGGCAAATTTTGCCAAAGGTTGACTTTTCTCCCTGAGGCGAGTGCGTTCTTTCCATAAGCTTTTTGGCAATGGATACCAATCCACACACCCTCGGCAAAGCTTGTTGTGCCTGGTGCACATGGGAGATCAATTGACTCAGAAAAAGATATCGAATGGTGAATCTTAGAGATCAACCTATCAATTGCCACTGTGCCTTCTGACTTCTTCCCAAAAGATACACGTGTGCGAAATTGTGCGAATCTGTTTTGAATGTTGGGAATGTTGCAGAATCAAGCTGCATAGCCCAGGTGCCTATAAATCTCACGTAGCCAACTAGCAATTCATTGTCTCCAATCTGGACCTGAGCAACGCATGGGCCAAGTGGGCCAAGTGGGCCAAGTGGGCCAAGTTCCAGGTGAGTTGTGACCTGACCTGACTTAAACTCAACCTCCCTGGTCGCCCCCCTCCTTGGCCCTCTGAGGATGAGTGAAGGGATGTGAAGGGGAATGGGATGACCAGGTGATTGACGAAACAACTACAGTAGGAGTTTAGAGTCAAGAGATGTCAAGAGTCCTTATGAAGTTTTGGAGTCTTGGAGTCTTAAGCATCTTAAACGATCTTAAACGAAACTCTCCCAACCAAGTGTCGCACCACGTCACCAAGCTGAAGTGACTCTGTCTTTGGTGGCCCTTTCGTCCTGCAAACTGCCAATGCTCTGCATGTGAATTGACGGTTGGATGCTTTTGAATCTGCAGCTTGCTACATTTTCCCGAAAGTCGAGCCAGTGCAGCCCCGTTTCTTGGGTTCGAGGAACAAAAGAGCAAGAATATATAAGAAAATATAAGAATATTGCATATTATGAAAAGTTAAGCAAAAATGAGAAGGTCGGAAAGCCTCAACAAGAAGATAAAACAAGATGACCCGCTGTTGCTGGTGACCTCCTCACCACGCTCCGCTTCTCACCTCGGCCATTGGCCGAATCCACGTTGAGTTTCTTAGTTCACTGCTGAGGCCCTTGCCGACATTTGCCGACGCCACAAGAAATGTTCCATCCAGCGGAGTCATAACAAGTCGTCAGCAACAAGCATGTGCCATGCATGTGCCTCTCAGGACCGTTTCTTACACCTTATGTAACTTATGTATCCTTATGTATCCTTATGCATGATCACTGCTTTTCACCGTTCACCCAGTTCGGCCCTGAAGGCTTGGGGTTCCCCACTCATTGGCAAAGGTCAACCCACCCAGACTATGGGCACAAAGAGCTGACCAAATCGGCTACTGCGGAACAGCAAGGAGAGAACAATGTTTTTCCTGTGGAGCGGAAAGTAAAGAGAAAAACAAACAAAATATAACAAAATGATACAAAATGCTATTTTGCTGCAAGATTCTTACACTCTTCACATCTCTTCACCACATCCAGTTCACCAAGTCCCCTTCACAAAATCTGGGTTTGAGAAGAAATCGTAGTGGATCTCTTGGCCTATCTTTACCAGGCAGCATGAAGTAGCATGTCGGGTTGAAGGCTTCTGTACTTGGCTCAAACAAGGGATCGAATGCAGTGATTCATATCAGTAGCTCTAGAAAGTACACCTTGCACATGGAGCAAAAGTATCAAAACTTATCAGAAATGCACCTCCACTTTGTCCATTGGGAATGAATAAGTGATGAATGTCGGGCGGTTAAACAATTTGGAAGTATGGATCTGTTTCTTTGCTAGTTGCATCTTGTCTCTTTCGTCCACACAAGCCTGTTCTACACATGGAATCCAGTCACGTCTTGGTACTAAAATGTGAGGTGTAAGACCCTGCATGTCCCAGACGAAATGTGACAACGCTTTCTGGATTCCAAGAGAGACTACCCCGACTATCTCTTCATGATCTCAGTTGTGATCTCACAGAATATGAAGCTCCACCCGTCGATTCACAGCGTTTTTGGTGCGGCTCAAAGGATGCAAAGCCTGGTACGACGGTACGATACGAAGCTATGGAGACACTGAATCAGGTGTCGAGATGTGTCGAGTATATCCAATGATATGAAAACTAATATACACTATAAATCTATACAAGGCGATTCGGCGATTCCCCATGTTTCACAAAATTGTGTATATATATATATATATATATATATATGCAGTAACTGATTTATGTATTGCTGAATTAACAGGAATTAATACTGTATACATGTATTGACATGTGTCATACACGCTCACTATGTTCAACTACGCATTCATGACACATTTGCATGCTGTGCATGTTGCTCATTTGCCACGCGCAGGAGCGCTTAACAACAAATGACAGAAACCAAGTAAGCTTGCAGCCAAGAACCGTCCAGAACCAGGAAATGTGATGAGAGTTACAGGTCACAAGCTCTTGGAAAGCTCTTGGAAAGCTCTTGGAAAGAAATTCATAGCTGTTCCACAATATGAATAATTACAAAATATTACAAAGATAAGCTCTTCACCGACTCGCCTTGCAGCTCTGGGGTCGCATCTTGGTCCTGGGAACACCTAACTCGATGAGCAAGTCGCGCACACGAACAGCGCGTTGTCCTCCACAAGATGCAACACGAAGCCCGAGCCCAGTTGCAGCAAACCCCATCAGCTCAGAGCACTCTCACTTCGGTCAAATTCAGAGCAGGTCAAAAGAATCAAAAGAAACAGAACAATTACAAGGCTCTTATGATTCTTATGGTATTCCGCTTGGCAAGTAGGTTTGGTTCGCTCGATCTGCCTGCAACTCAGGTGTCATTTCACAACTAGACAAAGCAAACATGTCGTTCGAAGGTTAGAATACGGTAGAATACGGTCATTTCAAGATCCCCGTCCTGCCAGATCAGGATTTTCATCCTTGTCCTTAGCTGTTGGAATGTGGATCAGATTGAATCAGTGTATGAATCAATTCCCACCCAAATCATCTAAAAGATGCTTAAAGAATCCAAAAATCATAATATATAATTATATGATATATCATAATCCGGTATCCGGTTCCTTCATCCCCAGAATCACCATCCCAGCATTGCGTCAAGTCTCCACGTGGCCTTCAAGTCTGACGACGTAATTCTCCTCGGAAAAGGCCTTTCCCAAAGGAGGCAGCAGCTCTGTGGTCTCCTTCGCCACAGCGATTGCTCTGATGGGGTCATGATTGGTGAAGATCTGTCGAACCACTCCACAACTGCAGCTGCAACACACCGCAGTGTGTCAAAGCAAATGACTGTTGGGAACAAACGAGATACCATGATGATTCAATTCAAATGTACTGAAATGTGCAGAAATGTACGGGGACACGTACCGACCAGTATAGAGTAGCTTCAGGAATTTGTAGGAAATTGCAACATCTCAATGCTCAATTGATGACATGCGCTGCGGGCTCCGGAAGAAGCTCAATGCTGTCCTGGTACCAGCTCAACACGTGCCACGTGACAAAGCAGTCGTTAAAAGCCAGCTACAGCTCCGATATCACCGAAGTACTTGAACTTTTTGTACTTTCACAGTTCTTTTGAACTTTCAAAATCAACACCAAAAGGACCGTCCCTGGCGCAAAGCCATGCTTTTGGTTGAAAGCACCAATTGAGAGTTACAGTATCCATGTCCGAGCTCTGTCAGTCTGTTTACTTGATCAGTTTCTTGAGTCTCTGCTCCATCTCCTGGAGATTGATGACCCTCATCAGAATATATCAGGACTGTCTCATGGTCAACAGCGTCTCTCCTTTGCGAAGTAAAGACCACTGGGAAAGTTGTCCATCTCCGCAGCTTTGGGGCCGCTTCGGAATACCAGCTCCTCCATGGATACAGATTGCACAATCGGAAAAAAAACACAAATCAAGGAAGTTGCTTCAGATATTCACTTGAATTCACTTGAAATCTTCAGATTCACTACGATTCTTTAAAATCTTAAGATATCCACTTCTCAGGCGCTTCTTTCACAAGTTCCAAAACCAGAGGGACCAACAGGATCCAACAGGATCCACTCCTGGATGGGCACTGGCACCACCAGCTGCCCCAAACCGGCTGTGGATCCACAGCCTTTCAATCGAAGGAGCCCTGGAGCACAGCCAGCGACCTGGCTCGGTCCCTCGGATGCATTCTACATGCCTACCATCACAGACCATTCGACCAAGGCATATGTGATGCAACGGAAAGCTGAAACAATCTGAAACAATTCTCTCCAAATTCAAAGGTTCTCATTTGCTGACAGGCACATTGCACCAAAGGTCAAGCAGAAACAACGGGCCTCCACTAGCCATTGGTACACAGCGAGGCTGCGCTCGATATCTGTGCCTCAAAGTAAATCTGACCCTTTGGAATCTAAAGCCATCTGACTTCCAAAGGGGTCATACATGAATGTTTCATAATGTTTCCTTCCATTACACATTTGCCTGAAACATCTTGAAACACTCTTCGCATTTCATGCTGCTTTTCTATGTATCCAATGTATCCAGTTTGAACCGCTGAACCTGGCTCTTCTCCCTCAGCTTGGTGACCTTCCAACAGCAGCCTGGCACGTAACACGTCACCATAGAACAACGCGCGTTTCAAGACCACTGACTTTCCCGTGTCGATTGTTTCTCTGCCTACAGTATCTAGTCCATCCAAACCGGCACCGCAATCCATGAAGATTTGATTGCAAGCTACAAGGTGTTCAAATTGTTTTTGTATCAAAATAACTTGAAACCGATGCTGATTCCATAATCTGCTGTTTCCCCTTCGCCTCCCAGCCTCTGAAAGGTATGTGCATTCAGAGGGGCTCATGAAATTCAATAAATGTTCTTGCACATGAGATGTTCATGGCTTCAGGGCAAAATTTTGCCGGAGTCTCTTCAATTTGCCCCGATGTTCCTTCAAAATGTCAGCTATCCGTGGCAAGATCAAGGCCTGCGTTGCAAGTCGGGGCAAAAATTGTTGGGACCCGGGGAAAGCAGTTGCAGATACACTTGTTCATATATGGTCTTAAAAAATCCATGAAATAGGAGCAAACAAACTGTGTATGCATGTCGTGTGTCTGCGAGGTTCTTCAGTAGGAAAAATCCGCCCAGCCGCTCACAGCAAGGGGAGCGCGGCAGATAAGAGGTGCTGGATGTGTATAGCTGTCTTTTTTCCAAAACTTCTTGTTCCTCAGATCATTTTTTCCCCCAAAAGCCAGTGTCTTCCAGCTCGTAAGCACCCTCTGCGCTCTGGAGTGCGGGTTTAAAAGGGCCCAGGTCCAGGTGTTCAAAAAGCGGAAAAAACATAAGCTGCTTCCGGAGGTCAATTTTGAAGCCATGTTTGGCCGATTTTGTGTTGCGTTCAGGGAGCAAAAACTTTCTAAATTATAGTTTTTTGCAACTTGTGCATGGAAAAAATAATTACTCCTTGCAACATGCTGAAGCCTCCGTAAACATCAGTGTTTTTGCTAGGTGCTGTCTTAAAAAAAAAAAATGTACGATTACTGCAAATACGGTGGTTGTTGATACCAAGGGCAAAAACATCGTAGAGACCGTGGTTTGGCTTCCGAGGCTCCAATTTGCATGTGTTCTTGTTCTGAAGGGCTTAAAGAATTGCGAACAAACTGCCAATATTACGCTTTTAGGGGTACACAAAAATAAGAAAAACATATGTGTGGTAAAACGGTTGCAAGCTGCGGCATGTAAAGAATATTACATTGTGCTTCGCGCGTGAGCCAAGAACGTGATCAAAACATGGTGTTCTTCACGCGTGCGCAGATTACATTATCAACAACACTCACGCTACCAACACACATCAACACACCTCTTATATCCTCTTATGGCTTTGCCGGTGTGCGCAGCTCGACAAAATGCAAATAAAGAGACTTTGCATGCTGGTACTCGTGATACTAGTACATCCTAGTACACGATCCAAAGTAAAAAAAAGTCCCCTTCAAACTATATGCAAGCAATTCATGATATTCATATCACAAGTCACAAGTTGACCCTGCATGCCTGCCGCGGATCGCCTTCCAAGACTTGTGCATCCGCACGTCTGAAGGGCACACCACACTGAGCCAACCTTGGCAGGGTTGGGAAAGGCTTAGCATATCTTGGAATGCATGGAAGATCATGGAAGCCGTGCAAGCCATCGCAATCCATTGCTGAGCCCACATTGTTTGTGCTGCAAAGGCAAAGCAATATCAACAGAACTTCATGTGAGTTCCTCGGTCACCTTTTCACATTGCACTTTGTGCGCTGTCTCACAGGTGACAAAGTGGCACCCAGAACAATTCGGCCTGAGCAACAGCGCACTGAAATTTTCATGAAATAGCATGAAATAGCATGAAATCATCAAATCCAGTTGGAACAAAAACATAGATGTGTGTATATTAACTATATGTCAATGTATATATATATAATATACATATATATATATACATGTCTGTGTATATGTACCATGTATTATGTATTCTATGTGTAATGGTGTTAAATCCTTGATCAAATCTGCTCCCTTGTATTTCCCAGAGTGACACCCGAGACTTGGGGCACCTTAGAGTCCACCCTCCATGAAGCCCATGGCTTTGAGCGCCAATGCTCCACTGTTCATGACATCTTTTGAGGAAAAGTCCTTCGAGTTCCTCAGATTTGGGCCGGATGATGCCGGATGTCATGTGAACCTGAACACATCTAGATAGTTCTTATGTAAGGGTGCAGTGGTAATTCTTCTGTATCTTCTGTAAGAACTATCCCGATCACATGCTTCGTACATGTGAGAAAACACAGAGTTTATGCAGTGGATGGGACTCTTTGACGTCTGACTTGCTCCACACAGGTTGATGCTGCACAGTGTTGCAGCTAAGAGTCCCTGAGATGGCCGAAATTAATTGATCAAGGTCCTGACGTGTGCTGGTCGCAAGTTGAGCTGAAGGCAGTTTGACCCAAACATGGACCTATTGCTGGCTTGGGAAGTAGCTGTCCGAAGCCACCTCCTTCAAGAGTTTTGGCCCGTCGGAGCCTTCGTACTTGCAGGCCGCCATGTCCTCAACAACACGGCAGTTCAAGATGCTTCAAGCAAATCTATCATCAATATCGTTCCTTTCCTTTTCTGGTTACTGGGCCTTCCTCTACTGTGTGGCTATTTTTTCAAATACAAAGTTTTGTCAATTTTCAGCTGCCGCTCCTGCATCAGGGTCCACCCGGCACCATCTCCATCCATGCCAGCTCGCGCAGCATGCTGGATGCGAAGACCCAAAGCCAACTTCATCTCCTCCAAATCCACCTGACCAGCTGAAGTTTGGGGAGGCTGACACCTTATTAATCCTTATCAATCCTTATCAGACATTTCTCAAAAGAATGTGCTGGCAACAGCCAACAGCACAAAATAGGCACAACGCACCGGATAACAAAGACGGAATGCTCTGGGAGACAGAGATTGCTCGAGTAAAGACCTTGAAAGACCTTGGCTCTACTTTACAAGGAGAACAACCGTCCCAGTTGTTTGAACAAAACGAACGAAGCATTGGAAAAACAAAAAAATCTCGGTGGCCTCACCAGATTCCAGCCGTTGGGCCCAGCTTGCCCGCTGCTCCTCTCGATCAAGACACATCAAGACACCAAACACTCCTATCACTGCCTATCACTGCCTATCACTGCTATCCCATAGTTTTCCATGGTACTTTATGGCACTCCCGTAACCCGGTGTTAACATCTGTTAGTTTCGATTTTAATAAAATGCGCAACTGGGGTATATGAAATTGCCTGCATTTTTAACTACACTACCAGTTCTTGTAAAAAACATCTACAAAAAAAACACAGGTGCCCCGTGTATAACCGCATGCAAGGCTTTTTTGGGCTTGGGAAATCTTTGCCTAGTCACCCAAAATGTGTTAGTCTTGACATTCATGTATCAACGAAACTGAAGAGCCAGAAGCAGGATCACATCACTTGTACTGTTTTGGAAGGAGCACCCTCAAAAGGTGTGGAAATTGCTCTCAAAATCTCTCCACACAGACAGCTTCTTATGAGGGACCACTACCAATAGACCAAACTATGGCTGCAAAATGCTGCAAACATAGCTTGTCCCTGCTGTGATCTTGGTGGATAGACTGGGATTTTGTGTGCCTGCACCGTGTGCCGATGCCCACAATAAGCGGCTAACGCTGGTCTCCCGAGTATCTAAACGTTCTCGAAGTGCCATTGCCTGCAGACCGCAGCAACAATACAAGTTCATACAAGCAACACGGTCGAATTCATCACGTCCAAACTTCTGCAGACTCCTTTTTTCTCACCAGGCGTAGCTTGCTGCTGAGTACCTGTCAACACCAGCTCAATGCTCTGCTAACTCCAGAGTCAGAGCACCTCTACCAGTATCAGCTTCATCAGCTGCAGATAACGCGCGCGAAAGCTCATCTGCCCAAATTGGGTCAAGGTCATTCTCCTCTGTACGCTGCTCCACATCCCTTGCCAATTTGATAAGGTCACACAGTTGAAAGAATTTTCCGGCTTCTTCGTCAAATTTCATGAGGCAAGTCGTTCGCAACTTCTTGGACAGTTGTTGTTTCTCATTTTCTGTGCTGGCGCGCTTGAATTGATGCAACATGCTGTGGGCGCGAACAGCTTCAATCAACCCTCGCGAGCTTTGCAACGTCAGGGTACCTCTTCCCATTCCATGCAGCCGTTCGAGATGCCACATCAATAGCATCAAGCCAAATCCAAAGCTGGCGCAAGCACTCCAAGCAGCTTCAGACATGTGCAAATCCAATGGATGAATTTCGTTGTGGATATACAAGCTCGCAGGAGGAAGGAAAAGCACAAATGTTGAAGGGCCAAAAATTAAGACACCGAGAGC